TGAGAATTTTTCCTTCGGAAAAGATTAAGTATTAATTGAATAATTTTTCATGTTCGATGTTGTGCATATATACTTACTCTTTTGGTGTAAGATAGTCTTGATCAATTGGGTGATGTGATTAATGTTGTTAGAGATGACATAAAGTATTTGAATAATTATGAATCTAGACTTATTCAATTTGTCAAGATAAAAAAATAATTACAATTGTCATCTAAGAAACTAATTTTGGATTGTCAAATAAGATTAAATATATAGTACATATTTGATATTGGCTTCAGCTTTATCATTCAATGATGTTTTTTCTAAATACGTAGAAATTGATTTTGAATTTCAAATAATTCATTTGAATTAAAGTAATAAATGTGGTGGGTTTAGGGTTAAAACAAATGTGGAAAATTCTTTCAGAAAACTACTTATTTAATGGAAAAGTAGTAGAAACTTATGAATCATCCAAACAAATTTTCAACCATACCCCATATCATGGTCACTATTTAGATATGTTTGAATATCATCGTCAAGTTGTTGTGACTTAATTAAATTGGAGTAATAAATTCAATCTCTAACAAACGAATCTTATGTGTTTCAAGACACATGTAAAATGGGAAAGAAATTCATTTACTTGTGTGAAAGAAAAACCTGAAGCTAAGTTAGAAACCTTGCAAACTAAATGAAAATGCTATCTTCCCCATCTTGATGATTTGTTGAAAGAAAGTCCAACTCGTCTACGTTCAATCTGTCCAAACAGACTCTAACGATGACGCACCATTGAATCCATAAAGGTGGATTCCAATGTCCAAGTCCTTGATTATTGGGCTTGACAATCATTTGTGTTTTCATTCGTTGATAAATAAAAAGGCAAAATGGTACATTTTCACATAGATGGAAATAATACTTTCATGTACTAGTTTTCCATTTTGATTCAAGATTAAAAAAAAAAAAAAAAAAAAACACAATTGTCTATTTTTTTCTGAATAATGTATTGTTCTTCCCAATTTGGTGATCATATATCCATTTGATCTACCTTTTTATAGGATAAGAGTATTATTTTGCATTCTAGATCATACACTTGAAATAAATTCAAATGAACCTTCTTGTTATATTCCTTATACATATTCTACTTTTCTTTTCTCATGTTATCAATAACTTTCATACGTGCAGTATTCAATTGCTCTAGATGTTGCATAATTGTAATTCGATAAGATTCCTCTGTCATTGTAGTTTGGGCTGAAATTCGTGCAGCAAGGATCTGAATTTCCACTAGCAACACTGCTTTATGCCAAAATGTAAGTTGTTATGGTGAAAATCTAATAGCTATGTTTTCTTATTTCTATAAGTCTATAGTGCTAGTGGCAACAAAATATGTCATTTCAAAGAGTTTTCATCAATCATCTTGTTGATGATATTGATAATTATTTTATCCATTGGCTTGTGGATAATATGAAGTAAAATGAGGAAACTTGATTTGGTATTCCGCCAAAAAAATGGCTAATTTTTCTCCAATCCAAGTCAATTCTTTATCTGTCATGATTCAATATGAAATTTTAAAACTATAAATTGTATGTGTTTGCATATATTTTGAAAAAAAAAAAAAAACCGTATGATTAAATTAAATAAAAATATAAAGAAGAGAAAATGAAATGGTTTGGATAAGAAATGATATATTGTGTGGTATATACAATTAGTGCTGAAATAGCGTATTTATAGGGAATAGAGAACTTTTAATAGTTTGACTGTTATAATCACCAAAAATAATTATTTGTAACTTATTAAAACTACCTTTAACTTATTAATAATTATGTATCTTCGAGAAGGTTTTAGAATAAAAATACATAAAACAAATAAAATTTGACTAAAGTATAAAAGTTGAAATGTTAAATTCATCAACGGAAAAAATGCACGTGAAATTAATGCTGCAACAGGAGGTCTCCATATAGAGTTAATGCAAACAATTGTTGAATATAATGTAGAATTAATGTTGATGGATTTAATGCAGGAGCAACATATGCTCGCAAACTTCAATAATATAAGTAAAAAAATGCAAGTTGATTCGAAATTTTGCCAAAAAATTGGCGAACTTTTCTCCTATCAAAGTCAATCTCCTATCCGTCGTTATTCAATATGGAATTTTAAAACTTACATGTGTTTGCATAAAATTTATAGTTTTTTTTTTTTTTTGTTACTTTCTTGAGTGGGTTAACTTCGGTCCATTTGGTGAAATAATCCATTGCTATGGTAATGTGATAATATTGTTTGGACAATGTAGGATGAATTTTTCCAATTATATCATCAATCACTCATGCCTTAACTTGCCACAATTTGGCCGTATTTTTGCAATTCAATACAAGGAATGTGATCAATAAGCCCACAGTTTTGGCATGTTTCACAATCTTTGGTGTATTTGATGCAATCATCAAATATTTTTAACCAGTAATCATTTTGATATATAACCCACCTCATGTTAAGTCCAACCCGATGTGCATCACATATGTCACCATATACTTTTTCATGACAACGTATGCTTCCTCAATTCTCAAACATTCCAACAAAACATTGTCTAATATTCGCTTATACAAATTATCTTTAATTAGTTTTAATCTTAATGCTTTTACATAAAAAAAAAAAATTAACATGTACTTTTTAAATTTGGTTAACTAAGATATGTAAAGATGTAAACTTTGATTTTTGTAATATGGAAACTTTGAGAAATTTTATAAGTTATGGAGATAGATACAATTTCGGGTGTGTTTGTTTGGGGGTTTGGATTTTGAGTTGGGATTTGAATAGTAAAAATTTTGAATTTGAATAGTTGTATGATGTGATATAAATAGGTGTTGATGTGATGTTTTGAATGTAAAATTGATTTTTAGTATAATATAAAAAATGAAAAATAGGTGTTTAATTTGATGTTTTTGAGGGGGAAAAATTGGATGAATAGTAGAAATCTTATTAAATCCCCCAAACAAACACACCCGAAATGTAATGCAGTGATCTTCAAATAATTCATTGTGAAATTGTTATTGATTTAGAATGTCTTGGATTTATATAATGATCGGATTCTTTTAAATAACATTGTAAAATAATTTACTGTGAAATTGTTGTTGATTGAGGATGTCTTGGTTTGCATAACATTTTGGAGTTGTTTGGATCGGAGTCGGTTTTTATAAACAACATCTTGCATGTCGTGGGACAAATTGCAACGATTATTTGATTTTTTTAAATTGACCATGATTAATGCACAAAACTTTCGACATTTGTAATATTATATGAATATATTTCTCGTAGACGGGAGAGTATTATATTTTTATTTTGATATTTTAAAAATAAAAGTAGTTAAAGTACCCATTCGGTCAATGAAATACATGCTTAAGTGGTTTGTACGAGCTTAATGGAGAGGTAATAATTATTATTTCTTATTTTTTATAGTAAAATAAATATAAGAAATGATATAATTTTTAATAAAAAAATGATAATTTTTTTGAAAACATCTATAGTGCTTACCTATCTTTTTTTTTATTTATTTAAACTTTGTTTTCATGTCGCTTAAAATTTGCTAATATTTTAAAATTTTTAATTTATATGTTTTATGGGTGTGTTTTTTTTATATATTATATTGGTTATTAATTAAAAATAAATAAATTGATATATTTGAGGATTAAATTATTGATTTGGTTAGGTTTAAATTATTCTAAACTTTAAAAATTTAAAACTTTAGACCATCTCCAAACAATGCAGTGGGTTGTACCAAAAATGGGGGAGAGGCTCCAACCCACCCCTAAATCCACCCCCTCCCTCCATTTTTGCAACAATCAACAGTGTTACTCCACTGTTACTCCACTCTATTTTTAGAGTTGAGTTTTTGTGGTGTTTTTTATATTTTTGGTATTTTTTTGTGTATTGTATAATTTTAATTTTTTAGTAGATGATATATAATTTTATATTTTAAAAAGTTGTATGTAATTTTATTTTTTAAAAGTGATATAATTTTAGTTTTTGGAAAGTAATATATAATTTTATTTTTTAAATCGATATATAATTTTACTGTTTGAAAAGTGATAATTTTTATTTATTTGTCTTGATAGCATTTAATTATTTATTTAAAATTATTTTATTTGTAATAGTTATTAATTATAAATGTTAATTTTTATATATATGTAATTTTTAAATAATTTATAAATTATTTGTGTATGGATCTAACGTAAAAATAAATTAAAGTTGGAGTGTAATTCATAAATATAAAAATTTATATAAAATAATATAAAAGAGGAATATATAGGGAATATACTTTTTAAGAGTAAAAATTGAAATTTACGGAGATTAACTGCATTTTTACCGTAGCAACTGAAAAATTTGAGTGGAGGGTTGGAGATGGTCTTAGTTTTTATTATTAAACTGTTTTTTTAGTTTTTAAATTTTATTTTCTCAGTATTAAATTATTTTGAACTTTAAATTATATTAAACTTAAATTTTTATTTTCTCGATGTTTAAATTTTATTATTTTTTTTTTGTTTAAAGCTAGTAATCAACACCTAAATAATAAATATAAATTTAGATGACCGAGCGTTATTTTATTTTATATAAAAATAAATAGTATAAATAATATTTTAAAAATAAAATAAATTATTATTGAATTTATCCATAAATTAATGTCCAATTTTTTTATTTGAAATTTACAACAACTATTATTTTATTTTTTTTAAAATATAAATTTTATTTTTTACATTTAATTCATTTATCACTTTTAATCCCTACTTTATGATAAATAATAAAATTTTTAATTTATATAAAAAAAAAGCAATTATTAAAAAAATTCATGCAAAGTAGTTTAAAAAAATTAGTTTAAACACATAAAAGATGAAAGCCAAATAGTATTCGAATCCAACGGCTAGAAATGAGATGGAAGCGAGGGTGGGGTGTTGGGAACGTGGCTGATCCAGAGGAAGATGACCCATTAAACGACGTAAGATCAAACGCCACGTGTCGGGCGGGCGGAAGAGGCGCCTCCAACTGCCATGCCATGTGGTTTCTCCCCTCCCTACGTCGTCTCGTCTCGTCGCCATTGTTTCCACATAAACACATGAATGAATCAATGAACGAACGTTATGTTATGTATGTACGCGTGTGCAATGATATGATGTATCTATGTGACGACCGTGATTGCGGTGCATCGCCAGCACGGGTCTCCATTCCTGTTCCTTTTCATTATCAGCTCTCAGAGCAGTTACCATTGCCAACACTTGGTGGTGTGCGCGGCTCACAGAAAATGGAAAATCGCAGCCAAAATCGCTGCCCATCATGCACGTCGATTCTGCATCTCTCCTCTATCCTTGAATCGCATTGATTGGTAATTGATTATTGTTGCTTGTTGAGAAAGGGTTTCCCCTGCTCCTGCGTTTTGAGAAATGGCTGGGAACGAGTGGATTAATGGGTATCTGGAGGCGATACTCGACAGCGGAGCGCCGGCCATCGAGGAGCTCAAATCGTCGGCGGTGGTGAAAGGGAATTTCAATCCTACGAAATATTTCGTCGAAGAAGTTGTGACAGGAGTGGATGAAAGCGATCTTCATAGAACATGGATCAAGGTCGTCGCCACCAGAAACACTCGGGAGAGGAGCTCCAGGCTCGAGAACATGTGCTGGCGCATCTGGCATCTCGCTCGAAAGAAGAAGCAGGTTCTTCAATTTTCTCACTGATTTCTTCAATCCGGTGTGCCTACGTGCAATCCTTGCTTTGGATGAATTGATTTTGTAAGAATTGGGATGAGAGTTGCCAAAAAGGGGAAGAATCATTACAATAATTGCTTTGGATGAATCACTATTTGTTGTTTATCTGATGCCTCTTTAAGCTTTGAAGAATGTGAGAGACACTTTAACATTTCATTTTGTTTGATTTGCACTGACAAATTATATTCTAGTTACTGATTCTTGCAGTAAAGATAGATCACTGAACTTGTCTGCATTTGAATGATCTTTATAATCTTAGTTAGGCTGTTGTTGATTTAAATAATGCGTAATCCGAGTGAAGTCACAGTTCATATGAGTTATTGTTCATAGCTATATGTTGCAACTTGCTGTACACCACATTGCATTCGAACTAAGCAATACTTTGGCATGACTGTATACTAGATACTCTTTTATATATATATATATATATATATTTGGAGTTGCAATATGCCTTTCATTTGAACATTCTTCGACAGTTGCAATTGGAGGGTATGCAAAGATTAAGCAAACGGAGATTGGAAATGGAGCAAGGTCGCAAGGATGTAACTGAGGATATGTCGGAGGACTTATCTGAAGCAGAGAAAGTAGAAGTTCTTGGAGAAGTGGCTACAATTGACAGCCCCAAAAGCCCAAGAAGCCCCGGGAGTCCAAAGAAAAAGTTCCAGCCAAACTCATCGAGTACGGAAGCGTGGTTGGATAAGAAGCTTTATATTGTTCTCATAAGGTAAATACATATTATTTACCATACACGATTGACTACATGCAATTGGGTAATTTTTTTGTACTTTATAATGAATCATGTCATCATGGTCAGTTTGCACGGGCTGGTTCGTGGTGAAAATATGGAGCTTGGTCGGGATTCTGATACCGGTGGTCAGGTGATTTACAATAACCTTATGTGGCATATATCAATCCTTAATTCAATCTGAATACATGTGCTAATTCATATCGATCAAAATGACAGATTAAGTATGTTGTAGAGCTTGCCCGGGCCCTCGCTAAGATGCCAGGTATATACCGTGTGGATCTGTTCACCAGGCAAGTTTCCTCACCCGACGTCGACTGGAGTTATGGCGAGCCAACAGAGATGCTCACGACGGGTCCTGAGGATGCTAACCTTGGAGAAAGCAGTGGGGCTTATATAATACGGATACCATTTGGCCCTCCGAACCAATACCTTAGGAAGGAACTGTTGTGGCCATACATACAAGAGTTTGTCGATGGAGCATTGGCACACATTCTTAACATGTCCAAGGCTTTGGGAGAACAAATCGGTGGTGGACAGCCTGTCTGGCCATATGTGATTCATGGGCATTATGCGGATGCGGGAGACAGTGCTGCTCTCCTTTCAGGAGCTTTGAATGTTCCCATGGTTCTAACAGGGCATTCGCTCGGTCGAAACAAGTTGGAGCAGCTTCTTAAGCAGGGAAGGCAGTCCAAAGAGGACATTGACTCTACTTACAGGATTATGAGAAGGATAGAAGCTGAAGAGCTCTCTTTAGATGCTGCAGAGCTCGTTATTACAAGTACAAAGCAAGAGATTGAAGAGCAGTGGGGACTTTACGATGGGTTTGATGTCAAGCTTGAGAAAGTTTTGAGAGCTCGGGCGAGGCGTGGGGTTAGTTGTCATGGCCGGTTTATGCCTAGAATGGCGGTAAGTATATTATCTGCCAGATTGATCATAATTGGGTCATGGTTAAATTTTTTCTTGTGCTTCAAACATTAAGAAAAACAACTTTTACCAAATATCGGGAAATATTGGTGGGATGCTTTTAGTAATGCCAAAATGTTGTATTCAAATGCGTAGCTCTTGACATTCAGACTGATCCGTACTCTGCAGGTTATTCCTCCAGGGATGGACTTTAGTAATGTTATTCAAGAAGATATTGGTGATCACGAGGGCGATCTTGGGGCACTAATGAATACTGAGGGCTCGTCTCCACGAGCAGTCCCTGCTATATGGTCAGAAGTAGGCACCGGCACTATATAATTTCCTTCAGTGTTCGATGTGATTCCTGTTTCTAGTTGCACCCTTTATATGAACACATTTCATGTTGTTTCCGTAGGTGCTGCGATTTTTGACAAATCCACACAAGCCGATTATCTTGGCATTATCTCGGCCCGACCCGAAGAAGAATATAACAACTCTTGTTAAAGCCTTTGGAGAATGCCGCGCACTACGCGAGCTTGCTAATCTAGTAAATTAATACAGAAACACTCAAACGTGCATTCTTTACATAATTATGCACCATTGTTGTTGAAGATTTCGTACATCGAATTCACGATGCAGGTTCTTATAATGGGGAATCGGGATGATATAGATGGGATGTCCGGAGGAAATGCCAACGTGCTTATTACAGTTTTGAAGTTAATTGACAGGTATGACCTTTATGGGCAAGTAGCCTTCCCTAAACATCACAAGCAGAATGATGTTCCTGATATCTACCGTCTGGCTGCCAAGACAAAGGTAAATGTTTAATGCCTTGTTGAGTTGTTACATTTCTATGTAAACTCTCCTAACAAAACTAATGAGTAATAATAACATTTGAAGGGGGTCTTCATTAATCCTGCTTTTATCGAACCTTTTGGATTGACACTAATCGAGGTTCGTTTTTTCTGTTGTTCTATTTAGATTGCTTGGTAACGAAAAAGATATCTTTTGTGACAACTTGTATCTGGATCTGCAGGCTGCTGCTCATGGGCTCCCAATGGTTGCGACTAAGAACGGTGGACCGGTGGATATCCATCAGGTTATAAGCCATCTTTCAACGTGATAATTTATTCTATATGTTACTATAATTCATTTATTTTCATACTGTTATTTGAATGAAATGAGTAGTAGTAATCTTGTCCAATCTGAAGTAAAATTGTAATTTCAGTTTGACAAAACATGTTGATTTCTATTTCATAGTTTATGGTTTTGAAGTTGATAGAAAAGTATCAGGTGAGCTCTGCAAATTTGTCGAAATTGGAGTTTACATTAAAAAGGTGAAGTTTTGTCGAAATCGGAGTTTACATTAAAAAGGTGAAGTTATGTCGAAATCTGCAAGTAGCTTTGGTCTTATAATAGAGTATTCCTGTGTTAAATAGGCACTTAACAATGGTCTACTCGTGGATCCTCATAATCAACAAGAAATTGCGGAAGCACTTCTGAAGCTAGTGTCGGAGAAGAACTTGTGGAATGAATGCAGAAGGAATGGTTTGAAGAACATCCATCTGTACTCATGGCCGGAGCATTGCCGGACGTATTTAACAAGGATTGCTGCGTGTCGGATGAGGCACCCCCTGTGGAAAACCGACACTCCGACAGATGAAGCTGCAGAAAGCGAGTCCTTGAACGATTCGCTTAAAGATGTTCAAGATATGTCTTTGAGGCTGTCTATCGATGGTGAGAAATCATCTTTAAACGAATCGACAACCGACGTCACAGCTGCTCAGGCTCCTGCTGGCACAGCTAGTGATAAGCCTGAGGCAAAAGATCCTGTTAAGTGGGTCCTCAGCAAATTGAGACGAAACTCGGCCTCTCGAGATTCTGAATCCGACAAGAAACAGGTGGATTCGAGCAAATATCCCATTTTGAGGAAGCGTCGTAGATTGATAGTTATTGCACTCGATTGTTACGACAGCCAAGGTGCCCCTGAAAAGAAGATGATCAATGTGATACAAGATCTTTTTAAGGCAGTTAAGTTGGATCAACAGATGGCCAAAGAAACAGGATTCGCCTTGTCAACAGCTATGCCGATGTCGGAATTAACTGAATTTTTTAAGTCCGGGAAAGTTAAAGCGAAAGAATTTGATGCTTTGATTTGTAGCAGTGGCAGTGAAGTGTATTACCCGAGCGCTTGCGGCAAAAAAGACGGGAAAAAGCTTGTTCCCGATCCAGATTATGCGTCGCATATAGAATATCGATGGGGTTCGGATGGCTTGAAGAAGACTATTTGGAAACTAATGAATACATCCGAAGGGGACAAAAATGCTTCTTCCTCTTCACCTTCAAATGCTATCAAAGAAGATGCGAAATCGAGCAATTCCCATTGCCTTTCCTACTTGATAAAGGATTTCAGTAAGGTGTGCTATTTTTTATGTTAGACGAGGTTTTATTTTTCCCAAATGCACTGGTTTTTGTCGACTTAGTGAATCGATTTTCTTTCATTTCGCAGGCGAAAAAGGTCGATGATATGCGGCAAAAGCTAAGGATGAGGGGACTTCGATGCCATCTAATGTACTGCAGAAATTCCACGAGAATGCAAGTTATCCCTCTGCTCGCTTCTCGTTCACAGGCCCTCCGGTAATCGGTTTATTCTTTTCATTCGAATTGAATTATATTTCATTTTGCTTGTGCCTATGAGGACAAGACACAGTTTTGATTCGATCTAAAAGTATTAGCTCGACCTTATCGGAATAATGATTAGCAGAAGCGAACTTTAGGGAGGAAGATCTTTTCATTTTTATTTCTTTTCAAAGTTCTGCATATCACTATATAGAAAATTCCGAAAACTAGTATGAAACCCGTTTTCCTGATCTTGGCATTAAGGAATAAATTAAAGAAACTTGACTAACTTCAATTATTTCGACCTTTCATATTGAATAATCCTCCGGTCCGTGAACAATGATTGTTGTTTTGTTGTTTACTACATTCCAGGTATCTATTCGTCCGGTGGCGACTAAATGTGTCGAATATGTATGTGGTTCTGGGAGAGACAGGGGATACGGATTATGAAGAAATGCTTTCGGGGACGCACAAGACGCTGATCATGAAGGGCATTGTGGCGAAGGGGTCGGAGGACTTGATTCGATCGCCGGGAAGTTATGTTAGAGAAGATATAGTCCCCGGAAACAACCCCCTGATCGAAGAAGGCGCGAAGCCGGAAGACATAGCTGAAGCCATCACCAAGCTCTCGAAAGCCGGAAACTGAGCAGAGCAGAGCAGAGCAGCTCCATTGCATCTATATATACGTATATATATATGTGTTCTACGACTACCTCACTTACTCCCTTTTTAATTTGCTCCCTACGCTTCAGGTCACCGCTTCAGGTCACCTGCTGGTTCGCTTAGTGTAACTTATCCGTCGGACTTAGTTTGTTGGGTACTAGATTCTGCCGAAATTTATTCCGTGCCCAATTTTTAAAAAAAAAAAAGAAAAAAGGTTCTGGTGTTTTATTAGTGTTTGTTACTTCAAAAATAATTGGAAATAATTAGTTAAATTATATGTACGAATAATTTTGTATTATTCAATTGCCTTAATTCGTTTCTTGTATACGGATGGGGATGTTTTGTCTGTTAGTTATAACAAGAAGAGCTGTTATGTTTTATTTTTATTTTTATTTTTATAGAAAAATATACATATATGCGTTGTCGTAAAAATACATTTTATACACCTGAGGCCTTTGAATATATTTATTAGTGTAATATTTTAGATGTAAAATTAGTAATAATGGTATCAATATTAATTTTTTAATATTTTTTTTCTATAGATTATATAGCTAAATTAGTAAATATAATTTTTAAATAATTTCAATTTTGAAAAACTTTTTTCCTAAGCTACTGTTCTCGACATAGTTAATAAAATACAATAAATATTTCTTCTAAATTAATATCAACTAATATTCTTTTAATTTTTATCATTTGAAATATTTTAATTTTTGGGAGTTAAATAAAAAAACAAAATATATTCTTAAAAAAATTTTAATTATATAAATTTATTGTTATCTACAACAACTAAAAAATAATTAATTTTAAAAAAATCTCTCCCGATTGTACTTTTTATTGTGATTATTATCGTCATCAAAGTTTCTTTTTAAAAAAATTCTACGTTTTTGTTGGAAATATACATTCAATATTCCTATCAAAAGCAATTTCATTTGCAATTTTTATGCTAGCAACAAATTCTTCGTTTATATATTTTTCAGAAAATAACAAAGCATCTTCTAATTATTTAATAGTTGTATCAATGTACACAAATTCCTATTGTAATTTTTTACTTACACTATTAATTACAAATAAAATATCATATCAAGTAAAAATTTATACGATTCAATTGAATTAATCAAACTCTCGGCTTCACTTTTGATTTAGCATCATCATAAAAATTGCATAATTCTAACAAAGTTAATCTAATTTGAGGAGTCTTAAATGTAATAAATTTAACACTTTTTATTCAACTTTCCTAATGAGTATTTGATACAGATTTTAAAGTTCAATTTAAACCATTATCAAGCAAAACTATCTTTTCATAAACCTAAAATAATATATATACATTGTATAACCCAAAAAATGATACAGCTTTTGCACAAGAACGTGACATATTACAAAAAATGAGTTTAAGACTGTGGCAAACACAAGACATATATAATGTTTTAGAATTAATATCTAACAATTTATTTTGAACTCCTTGATATTTATATTTCATATTAGAACTACTGTCATATCTTAGCTTGTACATTATCAATATTAAGATCAAGAATTTTAAGTGCACATACTAATTCATTAAAAAAGTCTTAATCCACATATATCATTCATTTTTAAAAATTCTAAAAGATACTCTTCTATTTTATTTGGTTAGTTAACATATTTACACACAATCAATTTTATTTGTTCTTGATGACTAACATCCGGAGTATAATTAAGAATTATAAAAAAATATTTTGTTTTTTAATCAATTCTATAATTAAATTTCTAACATTATTAGCCAATAAATAAATCAACTCATTTTGAATTTTATGTCTGATATAATTATAATATATTTCAAGATTTTGAATGCGTCTAATATGATCTTGCATTATTAAATCAAATTATGCAATCATTTCAATAATTTCCAAAAAGTTACCTTTAATATCTTGATAAATTTTTTCATTGCATCATCGAAAAGATAAATTATTCTTAGAAAGATATTTTACAACAGAGATTATTCTTATTAAAACTCACTTCCAAAGTTTTTTTTTTTTTGTAATTTCTTATTGCATATCTTTATTAATTGTTTAATTTAATTTTTAATTCTTTCCAAGTATTCATGTGTGTTATATGCTCAATGTTATTCTCATGTTGTTTAAGTCTTTCTCCTAAATATTTCAAATCATTAAATTCATCACTTGTCAATAAATTTTTCTTAATGCTAGTGTTATATAGTTTGCAACAAAATCAATATACTTTATCTATACTTTTAGAATAAACTAACTATCGTTTATTACTAGTTTCTCTATTATTCGATTTTCTAAAATAATAAGTATATGAGAAGTGCCTACAAGTGTTATCTAATGGAAAATTAAGATCTAAAGTTTGTTTCATTAACAAAAAAATTTCAACATATTACTCCAAAAAAATTAATATACTACACACTCGTTATTTTTATATTATCTACACAATTTTGTATACATCACATCAAAAAAAATTCTTCCAACAAAAACACAAAACAAACACACCCTAATTTTCTTATTGATCTCTTTTTCAATTAAAATATATCTTTCTTTATTCGTAAAATTATTCCAATTTTTTTTTTTATCATAAACATGTAATTGAGAGACTATATTATTAGCAATTCTTAAATTGTTAACATATCTATTAACATTTCATTGTGTTCAAGTTGTTTAATACTATTTGTATATAATTGATCTAAATTTCTAGAAGAATCTATGTTTTTATTTAAAAAATCTATCAATAGCTCCTATTTGTAATACTATAATTTGTTCTTTTTGCTTTTTCTTTTTCTTTTTTCACCACCTGAATATTTATACTATGGAAGAAGCTCAGGAGGTTGAAAGCATAACGGCTTAAAAACATTGCAATTTTCCAAAAGTAAAAACTTTCACTACAAATCTAAAACAAATCAACAATATATAGTTAAAAAAGTTAAAACTATTATTAAATGAAAATCAATTTACTTACAACTTACAAGTTACAAATCGCAGTGCTAAAAAAAAAAAAAGCAAAAACAAAAATAAATTAAAATTTTTTGAAAATAATTAAACACAAAACACGCTACTTACTTTGCACGCATAATGCACTACAACCATCAACAAGGACAAATAAATATTACATCTAATATATTTAATTACAAAAAATAATAATAAATAATAATAAAAAAAAGAAAAAAATTAAACAGCAAACTTATCTATAAAAAAAGCCCTCACAATCAGATAAATATATTTTCAAAACTCCACAATATATTGCAAACCTGAAATTTGATTCATGAGTTTAGATGCAAAGAATGAAGTAGTTTGAATCAATCAAAGAGTACAACTATAAGGTTCTTGGCATTGCTAACAAAATAAGGTTGCTCGAATTTGAATTTTTTTTATGCTAGAATTGCTCGTAAAACACTTGTAACCGTTCCTAAAAGATTTCATGCCACCATATTCTCCATGGAAAATAGCAAGGATCCATTAAGAATTTCTTTGGCAGAACAAACGAATGCTTTACAGGCTCAAAAACAAAGAAAACTAATGAGAAGTGAAGGTCTTGTGGAAAAAACATTGCAGGCCAACTTACAAATCAATCAAGAAGAGAAAGACAAGAAGAAAAGTTATAAAAGGAACTTCAACTCAAGTGGTACACTTAGCCACCACAAAGGAAAAAAGAAAAAAGAATTTTCTCCTTGTAGACTATGTGGCAAGATGGGGCATCCTGCTTTCAAATGTTGGAAAAGACCTGATGTGCAGTGTGAGAAATACAAAACACTTGAACATCGTGAAAGAATTTGCAAAAAAAAATTCCAACAAAAGATAATATCAAAATTGCAAACGGTCAAGAAGAAAAACAACAACTGTTTGTAACATCTTGCTTTACAAACATCAGTCCTAACTCAAACAATTGTTGGCTCATAGACAACAGTTGTACCAATGACGAACCTACGGTTGGGGTTCTTGATGATGATGGAACTTTAGAAGCCAGTCTTGACATCATAGTCAATAATCGAGATTTAGAGCAAACTCTACGGTTTGAAAATAACTTCAAGGTCAATACAGTTGGATTGTTTCCAAGAAAGTAAAGACATTTTAAGTCGTTGTACAACCTTAGGTGAATCTAATCCTAATCCTAGAATAATCCGGATCAGCTCCAAGTTGAATTCAGAAATAAAATAAGCTACAAGAATAAGAGTGCCGTGTGAAGCTGAGCCAAGCTATGGCCGAGATCTCAAAAAAAAATATTAGAGCTGCAAATAATCGATTTTTGCCCAAATATTTTTATGGGAGACATTTGTATCCCATCAAAAATTTAACATAGATACAGCCCAAATAACACAGCTCTGGAATATAATTTGAGATCTTTCCAACCCAAGAAACACAGTCTGGGGCAGCTCCAAGGCAAGCCTAGAAGACAAACCCTTCAACATATAGTCAAATTTTTTTTATCTGGTTTCAATTATAGAAGAATGAAGAATAATTGAAGGGATAAAGCACATGTTCTGGATGATAAATGAGGAGAGTAATAGAGAAGTTGCAAAAAGCAATAAGAATATAAATTGGCAAATAGTTATGGGAGAAGATCCTCCAGAATCATTTTTCTTTTCCTTTTACTAATATGAATTTCTGTCTTTTCTTGTTGCTAAATTTGTGCATTTTAAATTCATTTATCGCTTCTATCCTGCTTTTCTTTATGCTTTGATTATTATTTTTTAGCTTTTATTTTTCCAATTTTGTTCCTGTTACGTTGGTAATTTGAATTTTCAAACTATTATTTCATAAATGTCCAATTTAATCCAATTCATTGTTATAGTTTCACTGTGGATTTATTTGAATTATAATATTGATCAACGACAAATATAAAATAGTACTATTTTTTTTATTACTGATACAGTTTTTGTATCTAATATAAAAAAAAACGCATACATTTAAAAATACAAAATGAACATACCCATATTTAATGGTGATTCATCAAGTTGTGTTACAATTCTAAAAAAACATATCTTCATATACAAAAATTCTCCCACTTTGTAGGTACTTGAATTTTTATTTAGATTTTTAATATTAGTTTGTTATATTCTTGTGTGAATTATTGAAACCTAAATATTAACAATGTCGAAATACTGGACAAGGAAAACAACTTTGAGTGATTCAAAATATATTGGAAATCCATGCAACATACACTTTCTCAGTCTCCAACAATCTCAAACTTACGATAATTCTAACACTTTATAATAATTAAATTTATAAAATGAACACCAAATATGGTTCCATGATCATAATAGATGGCTTTCTAAAAACATATAGGATTATCTGGTTATTTTTCTTGAATTTCAATTTAGTTATATTTAACCAATAAGTTGAAAATGATACTTTTGTAAAAAAATATTAAGGTTGTATAGTAAAAATATTTGAAAAAAAAAAAACCAAACAAAAGAAATAGATCCAAAATTGTTTGAAAACAAAACAATTAGCAGGGTGTTGATAAATCAGCTTAACAATTATTGTAGAAACATACGAAGCACTAGTCTCAAAACACGTTTTAGATTATACCTTTCTCTTGTTATATGTGATTTGGATCTAAACTAACCACAAAAGCTCTCTATTCTTCTTTTCTAACAAAACAAGAACCTACACTAGAATAGGTCCCTCCCTTCAAATATAAATAAGATAAAAAAAAAAAAAAAAAATGCAGTCTAGTCTTGATTGGAATAATGGATGAAAGTAAGCACTGGTGTAGATACCAAAAACATAATACTTTCCTTTCCTTTTCTGTTCTCTTCTTTTTCAGATTCTATACTAAATTTCAGTCAGTATAAGTTGAGCAGATGTTTGGGAAGGTATAAAATAAGCCTGCCTACCTGCCTGCCTGCCTGCCTGCCTGCCTTTATAAGTTGCACGATTGTCATCAAACTTTAGGATTCGATACAACTTCGACATGGGATTGCCGCGGACTTGAATGGTTGGATCGATCATACTCCGGGTTTTGCACTGCTGCTGGTGCTTGGGCTGGGGAACTACCACCACCACCACCACCCATGTCCCTTGTTCTGTGAAGCAGAAATGTTCCGCTGAGGATGGTCACAAAACCACAAAGTTCGGTAACAATCTCTGATGCTGTTTGAGATTCCCCCTGAATTAAATGTAAAGGAAACACACATTGTTTATCTTGATGCTCCAAACAAAATATGAATGAATCTATAATCAACTCAGATCCAGAACAATGTGTAAACCAGCATTCCAATCACTAATCAATATTATGTTTTATCAAATAAAATAAAAAATCCATCCCACAGTCCTCAGCTTCCTAAGCTAATCTCTGCTTTTGAGGGTAACATCCATCAGTCGAGCAATGACAAAGCTCTATGGAGTTTAATCAACAACTCAGCTTGTATTTTCGATCCACGCCTAGATATGTCTTCACGTAACAGCAAATATGCTTTTTTTCGCTTCAAATGTGCCAGCTATACCCTAACAGTTATCAAATCCTTATCCAGCATGCAATGGTCTGTAAGCATGTCAAAGGCTGAGCTAGCAGCCTCCGGCTTCTTAAAACCAAGCTGCTTCAGTGAATTCCCCGATCAATCAGACTAATACGATACTCAAATCCTACGCTGATGTGGTTAAGTACGGATTTTCTCACCCCACATCGTCTCATCATCCACTCAGCATTCCCTCAAGTCCAGAGGACTATTCATTCCATTAGAATCCCCTCAGTAAAGGTTACCTGATCTCTTTGGATCATCATTGCTCCAAGATTCTGGCAAGAGCATCTCCTCCACCTATCAGAAATAAATCCCTCAAGCCTGTCCAGTTGCCCCCTTTTAGCCCATTAGCCCTCTGCACACCCAGACGCCAAAGAATGGCACCTAGAAGAATGGCATAGTCCTCTCTTCAGACTGCTTCTACCCAGAAATCTTTTTCAGTAGTCATTCCATGTGTTGAGCTTCCCTCCAGGTCAGATAATCAGCCTTCAAGCCAGCTAAAATCAGTCCTCCCATATTCCCTAGAATTTCTGGACTGGAGCCTCCGACTCCCCTCGCTCATCTAAAGACTTTTGGGGCCTTGTCAATGATCTTGGTATGATTGATCTTCCGCTTCAAGGAAATCCTTTCACATGGATTGGAAACCACCACTCTTCTTTCAGCCAATTGGACATATTTCCTTATCTCTAGCGTCACTGGCAGAGTTCCCAAAACTCTACTTGTTTAACCTTTGGCTCGAGGATCTCATTACTAATTATTATAATGCACGTGCTGTCCCAGCTTCTCTCAGAGTTAAATCCTGTTTAAACTAAAAGATTTGAAGAGAACCATTAAATCTTGGTCTGGTTACAAGTCAGGGGGACTCTAATCAGATATTGACCATCGGAGGAACTCACTGTTGTCTTTGGAAAATTCCCTCATGTCCAACTTGGAACGAAGTTATTGGCAGCAAATCTACACTTTGGCTCCTTCAGAAACAAGATGAAGCTGTATGCAGACTACTTGGATAATCGTGATTTGAACACAAGATTCTCCCACAGATTCGTATCATCTGCGCAAGCTTCCAACAGAATTCTCTCATGAGTGTCAGCAGCCAGACTTCAAACTCTTTGGACGACACATTAGGAATCTACCATCATTTCCCCAACATATTTTCCAACTCAAGACAACCTCTCCTAGTCCCTGATCAAGTTGCCTTTGGCATCCTTGCAGAGATGGTGGGAAGCACCTATCTCGGCCTTTTACTAAAAGTATTCTCTACGCTTTACTTGTGATGATGATGAAAAAGCCCGAGGCCTAGACGGTTTCAATCTAAGCTTTTTCAAAGCATTTTGGGACCTTCTTCAGCCTGACATCATGATGTTCTTTGAGGCCTTCTACACTGGCAACTTCATGGAGATTCCTTCATCACTCTCATCCAAAAAAATTCCCAAATGGAATTCGAAATGCTTTCTTGGCTATCAAATGGATCTTGAAATTCTTCTAGGTAGCAACCATACTCAAGATTAATTTCCACAAAAGTGCGTTATTCGCAGTCAAACTTTTCCTGGAATTCATCTCCTCTGCTGAATCCATTAAATGTTAGTCGGGACCACTCCCTTTACATGCCTCAGAGCTCCTATTGGTGTAAAAGGAAACCGCTATCAGTGTGGAATCCAATCCTCAATAGAGTTGATTTAAGATTGAGCGGGTGAAAAGCCAAAGTCCGCTCTTTCAGTAGGCGAGCTACACTGGTTTAATCGCCCCTTAACAAATCTCCTCTTAGCTTTCTATCTATGATCAGAATTCCCAGGCAAATCCTCTGTTCAATAGAATCTAAATTCCAGAGCTTCATTTAGGGGGACTCGAGTAATGAGCTTATCTAGTTGGAAAGCTCATTGTAAGGGGAGAATTTTGGGAGGCATTGGCCTAATCTTCGTAAATATCTCAAAAAGGCTCTGCTAACAAAATGGGCAATGAGATTCCAAGATTCAAAAGCAATATGGAGAAAAGTCTCCCTCCTCCATTTGGTCTTTCCAGTAAACCGACAACGTCCCTTCCGGACCTTTGGGCAACATCTGTAAGGTTTGGATTGCTTACAAGCAAGCAACTTTGGTTGTTGGATATGACTACAATTTTAGCTTTTGAGAGGATCCCTGGCCATCGCTTTTACAACCTCTTAGTCTTCACACGCATCTTTCACTTGGTTTGCTCTAAAACACGCTCTATCCAAGATTATGGTTGCTGGGAGAAAGGGTCAAGGGTTTGGGACAAAACTTCATCATGCCTTGTTTGATTGGGAGCATGACCATTTGGTACCCTTTGTGAATGTGATCGAGTCAGCAACTGCTCTGGCTAATAGCCAAGACAAATTTATTTGGAAGTCTAATCCTAACCAGTTCCTTCAGCTACCAATCAAATGAATATTTGTAGCTCTCAGACTTGTACCACTCCCACACATGATATCCTGTCCTATTATCTGGACTAAGAATGCTCAGCATCAAGTCAATACCTTTATTCACAAGCTTTCAAGAAGTGACCTCCCAGTTATAGATTCTTGTATCCTGAGGATATTTGGTTTCCAAGGGTATCCCACATGTGGCTCTCACACTGAGACTATTTTTCACTTATTCCTACAGTACCCCTCAACATCGAGTATGTGATCTGTTTGTGGGACATCTCTTGGGTTTGTTCATCATCAAGTGGCATTCTCGATCCAACACATCCACAAACATAGAAATTTCAAATAAAATTCTAAAGGCTGCTCTATGGACAATTTGCCACATTAGTGAACATTCTCCAATAAATATCTTTAATGCAAAAAAAGGTCCCTCCCCGCCCCCTTATGCTGCTGGAAAATCAACTCAGACAATTCAGCAATTGATAAACCAGGCAATCATCCGAGACCATTTGGGACAGACACATTATCTTCATCCTTTCAAAACATGTTGGGATAGTATACTCCAATGTTGCTAAGTTAACTGACATTTCCCACGTCCTCAAACATATGGCTCTTGTTCACTTGGGACATTGCCCCAAATTTATGCTAAGTGTGACTCCAAAATGCTTTAGAATGGACGTGTTGTACCCCACCTTGGAAGCTTAATTCAAACTTCAATAAGCTCCACCTCTACAGCTCTAGATATCCCACCATCACTTCTCGCCACATCTCTTGCTCAACAAAAGAACTGGTAGACTTATTTGCAAAATGTGGAGTTAGAGAGTCTGGTGATCCTGCAGTTTGGCTACAAATCCTTCTATTTTCTTTGTTAGGCTATTCTAAGGATTTTTTTTCCCTTAGTTCTGATACTAGTCATTACATAGTTTTTTACTATTTAGACTCCACATTTTTTGTAAAGCAATCATTTTATTTTCTTACAAGTCATCACATCAAACATTAGTTAAATAAAAAATCCAAACCTCCAAACCCAATCTAATCTCAAAGGAAACACACTTCTTAATGCTCTATTTAATTCTCTACCATGTCTGTATCTTTGGATTGTAACATGATTCATCTCCTATCACATATTTGTATTTCCTTCACAAACAAAAAGGAAAAAGAAAACGAAGAAAGATGGCATTCAACATAAATTTCAAAATATAAGTGCAAAAAATATAATTTTATAAAATAAATAAATAAATAAAAAGCCATAATCCTTGATAAAAACCTCATTTCGCTTTTGTTACCTTAAACATTATCATACTAGCGAAGATCGTCAGTGTTGTGAACATCACATAGTAAACAGGGGAAACCACAGCAGTATTAAAGGTATCCAAAGCCTGCAAATGGTGAATGTGGAAAAAATCAGAATAATCAAAATAAAACTGTTAAAAATTACAATAAAAAAAATTTAAATAAAATGGTCAATATTTACACTCCATTTGTCATATTATCATTTGAAAAGTTGATACAACAGAGTAACAAGTGTTAAAATGATGGTTTTCTCATCATCTAGTGCAATTCCTAGAGAGATTCTTCTTATTGGTGGATGCAGCAACTACCAATAAATAATGTTGATATCAAAGTCTTCTCCTACATAAGTAGAAGTTATTGTATTCCCTTGAAAGCTAAATTGTTCATGATAGAGAGTAGAAACGAAGAAAGCACAAGATTGAGATAAAAGAACAAGAGTAAGTCTCAGATGTTACTTGCATATTGACGATGGGGACGAACTTAAGCCTGTTGTTTGTGAATATAGATTTTCATTAGTCTTTTTGTTTTCGCTTTTTTTTTTTTAACCCCACACACATATCCAATAGCCCTCAAATAAATGATGTCTTACCACTTGATCTACAATTAATATAACATGCGAGGAAACCACCAAACAAGTGAACCAATAACAACTTCATTATTTCAATGCACAGACAATAAACCAAATTCTCATGGCAGTTTTTCAAACAAAAAGGAAACCAGCGTAATTCTAATCAGGGTAGTTTTAGTTTGGGTAACAGATAAGAAACTATAATTTTCATGGAAAATGGTACTAGATGATTAGGCATACCTTATTTAGATATACAATCTGCAAGACACAAAAACTAATGACCAAAATAGTGAAAAACCATGTCTGGAAGTACACGAATTGATTGGACCCAGAGAATGAAAGCTTTAAAGCAATTGCCACTGCTTTGACAGCCATAACCTACACGGACAGGAAAAGAAAATTTTGAGATTTGGCTCTTTGAATAAGACAGAGAATCGGGATTAAAAAATCAAAGGAAAAGCATAACAGAGAAGGATCTGACCGTTAGGGAACCCATGAGAGAGCATATTCCTATGTATATAACCATATATCTCTGTCCATAGCGTGGCACGTAAACAAATATTAGAACAAGGACAAGAGCCACAACCACTAGGAAGTACATAATAAAACCTGTGAAATCCAAATATATAGTTGGTTACAAGAAGAAGAATAAGAGTTCCCAAATACAAAATAATTACAATAAAGGTAATCTCAAAACTAGCATAAACCTTCCATAAGATGTATGCAATTGAAGCGACCTGCCCTAATTCGCTGATGTATCGGTAATATTGATTCCCATGGATATCACTAATGAATGCATTCAACAAGACTGTCGCATCTCATGTTTAGGTTATATCTGTGTCTGATGTTTCGTGATGTTATAGTAATGCTGCTAGCTTTTTCCAGACAAGCATTTATAAGTAAATTAGTTAATCAGTCAAGACTTAAAAATAGGTAGCCATTGGTAGCTTATAGATAGTTTGAGTAGAATATGGGAAATGAGTTCAAACAAAAATGAAGACTCGTAAACTTCAGGCCTATTGACTTGGACAAATAACACAAGGCAGCGAGGAGAATCAAAAGCTACCTGGCTCAGTTGCATAATGCCACACTTGTTTAACAGATTCAATATCCCTCTCCAATGGTGCATGTAAGACAATGGTGACAGAACCTACCAAACAGAGAATACAGCCAACCACTCCGAAAATGTGTAACCTCTCATTCAAAATAAAGTGAGCTAACACTGCACTGCATAGTAATTTATTTAATCATGATTTCATCTAAACAGGCTGCTGTGAGAATATTATGATAATGCAGTACTGCCATACCTGAAAATGATACTTAATGCTCCCAACGGGGTTACAAGAATAGCTGGAGCAAAGGCATAAGCAGCAAAATTTGCAGCCTCCCCAAGAATCACTGCTCACACATGTATAGCAATGATAAATATATAACACAAATATGCTAATTTTTTATTATTTATGGAACCAAAAGTTCTGAAGGTTTATGGTTTATAAAAAGATTATGAAAATATAGCTGACATCATGACCAAAAGAATATGACAAGCATTTAAAGAAAATAAGATTTATATGAAGTTAAATAAACTTTCGTTTTATTTAAGTGTTTATAAAATGTGATTTAGTTCTCACATGTCAGAGAGACTGTCTCCCCATTAGGAACCTATCAGAGTTCTGATTTGAACAAATGTTAGTATTAGACCAGTTCTTGTGGCATTTTCACATTTATCTAATGCAAATTAAGTCTTTCTTCAGGTAGATGACAATTCAAGAAAAGCATACTCATACCGTTCGGATGCTGTCAATTTAAAAGTGAGATTCTAGACAAATCCAGAAATACAAATAGTATTATTGCATATTTTAAAATTTTATAAGTAAATGAAACCATACAACCATCCATTCTCATCTTCAGTAGGAAAATTCCAACAATGTACATGCAAGAGCAGGATTCATATCTTTAAATGACTCCACATCACATGAAGAAATGACCATAACACAGTCAAAAAATAAAGTTCTATAATTTGTCATCCATCAACAATATGTGCTGAAAGGATCTTACTTGCAATCATGCCACCCCACCACCAAGGTTCTTTCAAATATCCGAAACCTCCATCGCCTGAACAGAAAAATAGCCTTCAAAACATAGGTTTAAAATGAAGTTTCCCGAGTAGAGAAGAACCAATGTAAAGCTTTTCAGGCGTACTTAATACAAACATAACCACTTTCAGAGCTAAAATCGATAACTATTTATTGTAATATCATCATTTCCTCTACAGGGCCATACAGTTTTAAACACATACATTAGAATTCCCAGTTCGAGTGTAAAATCACACAAGCTAGTGGTTCCAAATAAACTCTTGTCCAACTTCTTCATCTATATTACCCAGATATGTGAGTCCCACAAATGTTGCTATCCAAAATATTTTCTAAATCTCTATGCAATTTGGCGACTAGTTTTTTCTTGTAGACCTTGCTGTAAAAGAATATATATTTTGTTGTACCTGAAATTTGGTAGATACACTCCACATCCTCTATCGTGTGTGTCATTAACCAAACAACTTAACCCTCTCCATAATGCTTATTCCTTATGATTTGATTTTTTACTAGTCACTAGCAGAACCATCATGCTTCAGATTCACAATATTTTCAAGTACAAACGAACGAAATCATAAAACTAAAGGCGCAGATCAAAGAAAACTTACTTGCTCGTGTTCCCGTTTCCCCAGACCTTTTTAATCCCATTTTCTTTATGATGAAGCTTGAACCGATAAAAACGCTGGAAGATATCGCTAAAAGAAACCCTCGGACATTGTCTGATACTCCCACCATTTTTCAAAATAAAAAAATGGAGGGGTAAACACAAGAATCCTACTACGAAGAACTTCAATTCACCCACGGCATATCCTGAAAACAGCAATCTAACAACTCAAATCACAATCACTTACATGCGTTACATTACAACCAAAACGGATACACTCACACACAAATGCACATCCATATCTGAAAAAACAAAGACAGGCAGTAAAGTAAGCCTTCCAACCTTCTTGGCTGCCATTTGCATGCGGAGAAAATGAGTAGAAACTTGCTCCGATCAATTTTTCAATCAACACCAAAAACCAGAAGCCTCAATAGACCTCCGGACACGGAAATCCTTGTTCGGTTGGTACCCCCCTCCCCCTCCACTCTCTAAAGAGACAAAAACTCAAGTGCAGAGCGATAGAATCCCAAAGACGTGCGCTACACTACGATTGGAGACTCAGCTCGCGTCGGCGTGGCCCAATTCGTTTTCCTTCTCCTTTCGTCGTGTGCAGCGAAATGGAGGAGAGAAAGAGAATCAGAAATGATGCGAGGCTGCATCGAGCCCACATTTATGGCCTCACTCGCTCACTCGCAATCAATCTACCTTCTCTTCTCGGCCTCGCCTTCTCCTGCCATTCTTTTACACGTCTTTGATATTTTATTATTTTTCCTTTTTTTTTTTTTTCTTTCCTGTTTTCCTATTCGCCGAGACGATTCGGGACGTGTCAGATGGCTCGTTTGTTTGAGTTTCGATGTTGTTTATAATTGAAATATTGATTTTTTAATATTAATATTTAAAATAATAATAATAATAATAATAATAATTTAATATAAAATAATGTTATTTGAAAATTAATTATTATATCAAAAGTAATTTAAATTAAAAATATATATATAAAAATAATTACAAGTGTTTTATAAAAAAAATTTTAATATTAAAAAAAAAATAAATGTAATTTTAAAAGCGAATTAAATAAAAAAATAATAACATTGTTTCGGGAAATACGGCCAACTTTTTAATGAGACTAAAGAGTAGGATAATATTATTTAAAATTAATTTTAAATCACAATTAAATAATTACAATTTTTAAATTAATAAAAAGATAAATTGCATAATACTTTTATTATAAATAAATAAATAAATAAAATTTCAACCTCTAATTTATTTTAATATAAGAAGACACAATAAATAAAATAATGGTACTTTATACATTTATAATAAAATATAAATATTCATATGATGTAATTTACTCAAATAAAAATAATAGGGATCATTATGGCATTGATTAGCACAGCACTGATATATTAATAATATTCTATGTTTCTTGACAACATATGTATTTGATATTTGTCCGGTTGTATTTAAAAATATATTTATATTACATAAATATTATTATATTTTTTATCATACAATATTAATAAGATATTTAATTAGAGATTATAAAATTATTTAAAATAAATTTAATAAAAATATACAGTTTTAAAAATTTAGCATCAATTTATTTATTCAAGGTTTGTTTGTCCAATAATTTTTTTCGATACCATTTTTAATATATATATTATTTTTCTAAAAATATTATATTCAACATAAAATATTATTTTTTATTTTTCGATACAATTCTTAATACATCACATAAAAAAAAATAAAATAAAATAAAAAATTCTCAACTGAAAACAGTAAACAAATAAAACCTTATTTATGTATTCCTTCTCTCTTGCTAATTTTTCAAATCTCCCCAATTCCCCTTTGCAAGACAAAGGCTGCAAATGCGGCTTTCGCTGCATTTTTTTTTTTTAATATAATGTTTTTTAAATATTATATTTATTTAATATTTATAATAATTATAGGTTAAAAATATATAAACAATATATATATAAATGTCATTTTATAGAGAATAAATTTTTTTATAATAAAAATAAAAAAATTAAATATATATATTGATTATAATATAATTTGATAATCAAATCACACAATCACTACAAAAAAAATAATCTATTTGTAACGAAATTTCGTCCCTAAAGTTCACGTAGCTAACGTAATTCTATTTCTAATTTCGTCTCCAATGTCATTAGTAACGGAAAAAGTAGATTTAAAGACAAAAAAGTTTTGTTACAAAAATAATTTTTTCTTGCAGTAAATTTTAATTTTATCAATTAAATTTAATACACATTTATATTATTTTATTCGTTATCCATCGAATCAATACACATCAAAACTCTTCAAACTCCAACCAAATCTAAACATAAAATAAACAACAAAATTCAAACTCATCTCAAAATTCAAATAAAAACCAAACTCAAACTCAAATCTCCCCAGACCCGTCTAAAGAAACACACAATTTGAAGCATTTGTAGGCCAGTTTGAAAGCTTTAAAAACTATTTTATGGTTAGCCCTTCTAATTTTGTATCTGTATTTACCGTGCCTAATTTGCATATTATTAAATTTAAGTAGAAATGTATCTAAAATGCATTCGAAAGTGATTTTCTACGAATTCTTACATAAAAATAAATAAATAAATAATCAAGATGACAAGATATTACTCCCTCCGTCCCAGATATCGTGTCTGTTACACCCGTAGACACGGTATATTTACGAGGGATGTAATTAGTAGATAATTAAGAATGTATTAGTTAAAATAATTATCCTATAATATAAATAATTATAAATTAAGATTAAGATAACTAATTAGTTTAATTAAAATTAAAAATAAAATAAAATTTAAAAATTTAAAATGAGATTAAAGTGTGTAATCATTTTCCAGAAAAGTGACATAATATATAGGACGGACAGAAACATAAAAATAATATGATAATATCTATTCACTACTTACAGCATATTTTATGTATACATTTAGTCAATACAACTTAAATATATATATATATATAGCACATGGAAAATATATATTTATAAAGCATATAATCACTTTTTATTATACCTTCAAACTTTTTATTTTCCCATGCAACTACTTTGGTTGTTGTAATAACTTTTTCGTCTCTCTATCATTATTTTTTCGGTTGCAAAAACGACAACACTAACAGAATCTATATTTGCTGTCGCAAAAATTTTCTATTTTAGTTTGATTTTGTTTTCAAAGTCCATGTTCAAATTGGGGTGTCATATGAAAATATGTTGGCCGAATTGAACAAACCGACAAATATATATCATATTTTTCTTGTCAAAGAAAATTTAAAATAATAAAAAAAAATTATTAATAACTATTTACGCTAAAAGATTATAAAATTCATTCTAACATATTCAAATAAAATATTAAAAATAAATAATAAATAATGCCTAAACTAGGGTCTTGATTGTATCAACTTAATCTCTTTTACAGATATTGTCGTTTCAAGAGATTATTATCAATATTTTTACAAGCTTTTAAATCTCTTTCATATTTACGATTTTTTATAATTTGTTCGGTCAGATTGTAAATTTGTTAATATAAATGTTGGATTTTTTTTATTTTTTTTTGTATAAATGTCTTTTTTATTGTCATGCTTGTAAATAACTTATTCCCTTGAAGCAAATGATGTAAATAAGGAAAAAAAATAGTGTGACATTAACTTTATGTTCATTCAAACTATGATAAAATTTTCCATTCTCCCAAAATTAACAACACTCAATCGAAAAAGTTAAACTCTAAATTAACAAAGACTAACTTGAATTGAAATTAAAATTATTCAATATTAACAACACTAAATCAAAAAATCTAATTACAAAATGGAAAAAAAAAAAAAGGTTCCATGGTACTAGATTTTTTTCTTTCTAAAAAAAAAAAAAAAACATCACCAAGTTTGTCCCCCATTGGAAGATCTTTGACTATTTGGGACCGACGATCCCAGTCGAATATTTTTACTTACACATTTTTACTATAGATTGACACGTTCTATTGTAAAAATTTTATATGTAGAATAAAATAATAAGAATATATATATATATATATATATAAAAGAAGATGAAGAAGATTGTTGGAATAAGTACATTATTGGGATGCCTTGAATTCGGTATTTCAATATCCCCGAACCAGACGGTATGGGCTAACTCCATAGTCTATTTTGACTATTTGGTCTAATTTTTGGGTCAAGTCAGCTAAATGTAACTTTAAATGTGCTAATATTTTGAAACTCTAATAAAATTATTCTCTATTTTGCTCGCCTATAAAATGTTTAGTTTGGCCTAATCTATTTATTAAAAAAAGTCAATTCAAAATTTTTTGTAAAATTTTTTTATTTAAATATTTACATAGACCAGACTTAAGTTTTAAAAAAAAAAAAAAAAAAAAAACCTTTTTAAATTAAAGCATTATTGTTATTTTTTATAAAAATATTTTTTCATTATTATATATTAGGGTATGTTTGTTTGGAGATTTGAATTTTGAGTTGGGATTTGAATAGTAAAAATTTTGAATTTGAATAGTTGTATAATGTGATATAAATAGGTGTTGATGTAATGATTTGAATGTAAAATTGATTTTTAGTATAATATAAAAAATGAAAAATAGGTGTTTGATTTGATGTTTTTGGTGAAAAAAAAAATTGGATGAATATTGTATATAAAATCCAATTCACCAAACAAAAACACCCTAAAAATAACTTTCTATCTAATAATAATATTATTAAATAATTTTAATTATGAATTTATTATAAAAAAATAAAATTTTTAACTTTTTTATATAAATTAAATGATTGTATCTATTTTTTCTTTAAGTACTAAATTTGCAAATAAATAAATAAATAAAATTATTATGTAGTAAGTTTGTAGGTCGCTTTTAAAAAAATCACTCATGTTTTTAAAATATTTTTTTTTAGACTTATAGGCCCGGTTTAGACCAGACCTATTTAGCCAAAGTCTAGTCTGGCCTATTACCACCTCTAATTTGAACCAAATCGAACAAATACCCAAAATCACGAATCATATTCGAATAAAAAAGTTTGATTAACCAAAAATATTTTCAATATTTGCAAATAATTCGAACCGAATCGAAATGTAAAAAAATACATTAAAAATAATTAAAATTTCCAACTAAGTAAAAATATTTGTAAATATTCCAAACCGTCGAACCAAAACCAAACCTAATATAATTATTAATATAAATTCTAAGATATAATAATATAAATATATTCAGTTCGGTTAATCGAACCGAAAAAAATATAAAAAATCAAAATCGGAATCGAATCGAACCGAACAAATATCAAATATACACTATTTGTATTTGAAACGAATTTTCTCGGTTAACTAAAAATTTGATTCGATTCAGTACGGTTCAACGGTTCGGTCGATTTTTTTGCCCACCCCTATTGGTAAGAGCAAAGACACCAACATTAGAGTAATGTAAAATGATCTTGCAATATAAAACATATCAACTAAGTATCGACTATCTTATATATTTGTGTTTTTGATCAACCACCGAAGCCTTAGGTGTAATTTATATCGATGTGGTAGCTACGTCAATGATTTACTACGGTACGTAACATTGGGAGCTAGACACTAATATCACATATGCCTATTAATTGAAAGGTGATATAGCGTTCAATCTCTTTTCAATGTGATTAATGCTCACATGTTTCAGGGTTCCTCATGAATTTGCATTCAAAAATGTTAATTTTTTAACTTACTAGTAGTATTTGTTCAGTATTTGCATATTTGCACTAATTCGTTTAGAGCATGAAATGAACAAAACTAGTTGATGGAATTAAGAAGCTTGGTGCATGTAGCTAAGCCAGGAGAGGAAAAGCTTTCACTTGTGCTGTGTTGAGTGGGAATTAAGGGGTGGCTGGTACTAATGCTACTCTCATCTCATCATACTAATAATGTACCAACAAAACCTTGAAAATAGCCTTAACTTTTTAATACATCAAATATACATACATATATATATATTGGAGTTGTCATACTCCTCCTATCCAACTAGGCCTAATTAGAGTGTCAAAATCTTCAATCATCTTTCAATGTTCATATACTCTTCTGAATCCTGACCAGTTCCACTCTAAATAACCAAATATCAAAAATCACCTAAGCATCAATCAAACAGAAGATCCAAACATATCATTTCTTTTTAGTCCAGCCACAAAGCCAAGTAGGCATAGAAATCATTTGTTGCTCTTAACTATATATAATTTATTTTTAAAAAAAATGAAGAGAGGAAACTAAAGGGGTAACGCGCAGAAAATGGGCAAGAAAAGCCAAAAAGAAAAAGATAGATCATATCCTGATTGAAACCGATGATGCAGCTCTCAACCCACAGTTCAAACATCCAGCGTTGCCACCTATAGTAAAAGAAACAAAAACGAAAAAAAAAAAAAAAAAGAGAAAAAAAGGAAATAAACAAGCATGAGGGATGATTACCGAAAAAAAATACAAGTAAAAATCCACCATCTTATTATCTCCATCATATACTCTGAATAGACTTGAAATTTATCTCCACAATTATATCAGCCAAGACCGCATATAGAAAACTGCTTCTAGATATCCTATTCACATGACAAATATAACATCTCGAATATTTTCTCAATGTCACACTACCATCTTAATTAATAAAGCTTGTTGGAAAAGAACATACAACACTTGCAAGGATGATGAATGTTCGAACATCTCTCATTTTAATGGTCATATACATATAATAAGGGTGAATATACTAATGCTGGATATGATGGGATTATATAATAGAAGTGTATTGATTAAGACACAAAGAGTATATAATCTCATCATATCCTCCAAAGTAAACACACCCTACTGGTATACAGACATCCAGGCAAAATCTTTAGGAGATGATTACAGATCAAAGACTATGAGGCAAGGACTTTGGAAGGAATTTCAACAATGAAGTGCTCAACTTTAGGGAAACATTTGATTCCATGCATAACAATATAATGTCCAAGTGAAAACACATTCCCAATAGTAAGCCTATAACTCTATTCAAAGGGAGTGCCATAAATAAAAATCTATTATCATGGAATTTTCTATAAGAAACAAGTGATTTCATTTGGGGAAAATAGAATATAAAAGATAGCTAAATATTATATTAACAGAAAACTTATAATCGTTGAAAAGCCTAGAATACATAAAAGCTAATGTTTCTTTAGAGTTTGGTTTCAATTTTTGTACTATGCAAACAATGGCGATTTTCAGTAAAAATATATTATTTTCTCACAAAACTTCATATCCAAACCAATATTCAAACAAAAAACCAAACTCCAAACAAAATGGCTGCAAAATAGATCTAGAGATCCTGCACCTTCCCATCCCGCCAACAAAAAATGAACAGCCAAACTAATTACAGATTAAACAAAGCTGCGTCTAAAGGATGTCAGTATGCATGAAGCATTTCATGTGTAGACTGGGAAAATTCAGGACAACAAAAACTGTATTGCCCCTCTTCCAGAATGTCAGTCACAGTGAACATGGAAAGTAGAAAACAACATAACTTAAATAGAAAAGATGAAACATGCATGTGCCAGTAAGATAATGCCAAGCACCAGAATGAACAAATAACCACTAAAAAGATGGAAGAATTTTCATCAATGACTACAATAAACACATCTATATTACATAGTTTAAAAACCGAACTGGAAGCAGCTATATACGCAAGAGAAAATACCTGTCATTAAAGAAACAAGGATTTGAACAAGAAACTAACCAACCAACCAACCAACCAGGCAACATCTGACTTTGTATCTGCTTTAACAGAACCATGCCTAGCCAAACATTTTAGAAGAGGAAAAGAAAAAGGAGGGGAGAAAAAAGAAGAGAAGAAAAAAAAAATAGAAAGATAGAGATGAGAATAAAAAATGGAGGGCATATATCAATAAATTCAGTCTTTCCATGTTCCAATCCAACAGTTTCAGCCATCATTCCCAATTCAAAATTCATCATTGCTCTGCTATGAACCTGCTACCTGATTACTATAATTGTGCAGATTAATCTTTATGGAATGAAATAGGTCTGTCAGATCAATAACTCGAAATTGAACTCAACATATGCCATAATAAATATAAATAAAAAAGTCCCCCACCAACTCCACCACTTCATTAGCATGCTGGAATAGATCATATGAGCACATATCTATCCAACAAGCAAATTAGCTCAAGAACAGAACTTCAAGCACATAATCAATACTGTTGTAGTTTATCATCTAATCAAGGCTATAGACTCAATAAACTCAATTTTGACACCCACATAATCATATTACAGTAGAAATTTTTTTAACACAATATATTAAGAGAAAAGGCATATGAGTAAGGTGGCATTCTGTTCAAACAATTAGAAATTACACAGTAATTGCAGGAACTCAACCAAATTGCACATACAGTATATTATAGAAAATAAGAATTCAACTACCTACACTGATAGAGGTTAAGTCAGCATGGATCAATGAAAATAACAGTTTCATGGTAGAATCTGAGTTAGGCAGACATAGTCCTTCAACTGTTCTACCAAGTCATGTATGGCTCCATACTTCAGCAGATTCTACTTGCCTTCTAACCTGCAAAAGAAACAACAGAAGTGCAATCATCACTTGAAGAGTGGCAGACTGCCTAACTATCCCAACTGACAAAATACAAGACCAATCTCTGGTGGGATCATTTCACCAATCAGCGGTTAAACATCAACACGGAAATTGTAAACAGTATTGCAGCATCAATTTTCTATTTTTGATTTTGTTAAGCACCCATCTCTTTTCCTTGAAGTCATTTCAAGAACTCCCATCTCTGGCCACCTCATCACTGTTCAAATGGATCAACTCAATCAACCTGCTCACAGAGATCATCAGATATGAAGGACTTGTCATTCTCATTCTTTAATTCTTCATCTCTTTGTTCAACTGGAACAGCATCTTTCATATTATTAAGATTATTTTCAGGAGAATTTAATGGGGAGTGCTTCCTGTGTTTTGACTTGGATTCATCTGAATGATGTGAAGACTTCTTGCTGCCTTTCCGATGCTTTCCTTCAGCCGACCTTGACCTAGATCGCCTTTTATTTGTTTTTCTTGATTTATTCTCTCGGCTCTTTTCATGTTTCTCAGTTGAGTTATGCTTTCCTTCCGGTGATCTGGACAATGTCCGTCTCCGGTGCCTAGACCTGCTTTCTTCCAAAGATCTTCCCCCATTTCGATCTACTGAAACTGATCTGGAACGTTTTCTGCTACGATTCTTGGACCTTTCTTCCTTTCGGCTGTCTCTTTTATCATTATTGTCATGTTTAAGTTCATCAGACATTGACCTAGAACGTCTTCTATGTTTTGATTTCTTCGATTCATCCCCAGAAGATGAAGACCTTCTCCTATGACGGCGAGGAGATCTTGAATCAGGTCGGGTCGACTTTCTTGATCTTCCAGTTGGACTTTCTCGACGCCTGGGAGAATCCACATCATCACGATATGACTTCTTAGCTCGAGGGCTTGCACTTCGGCTCCTCCTTGAAATAGGTGACTCATTATCACGTGATCTACCCAGGTCTCGCCTCCTGTCACTACCACCCCTACCATCACGATAGTATCTTCGTTCTTTCTCATAACTTGAGCGGTAGCGAGATCTAATAGGTGATCTAGATCTATAGACTCTGCTTCGGTGAGTAGGAGGTGAGAACGAGCGAGATCTCCGTCTTGTCCGATAACTGACTGGAGATACTGACTTGGACCTTGACCTAGATCTTGACTTGGCACGGCCAGTGGATGGTGACCTGAAACACCATGTCTGATTAGTTTAGAATGGTTTCATATAGAACTACTGAAGAAAGCAAAGAAAGAAAACAGATATGGATGTATCAAATAGAGGAACAAAATATGATATGTAGTAATGCTACTTCAAACCTCATGATGGATCTTGGTGTCACAAAAACATTTCCAGATACAACACATTCTTGCAAACATAACAAAAAACAAATGCAGATAGCTATTAAGTGATTGGAATAGAGACCGATTTTTCATTTAGTAGTAAACAATTAGACATTGAGTGAATATAACCATATACAGAAAATGAACAGGGCCTAACAGGCTAACACTACTCATGTATCTAACATGGATCATGGAAACTTTACATGGTTAAAGTAAAATTCCAGGCAAAAATAATTAAGCCACCATCAAAAATAGATTAAAATAAAGAAAGGGTCAGAGTGCAAAACAAGTACAATAATTTCATGGCTCATAATGCTGTATTGTCTCAATTCCGGTGCATGGAACTATCAGGTAAATATCATAAGCAAGCTTGAAAGTTTCAATAAGGGATATATATATATCCTAGCTAGCATTTTTTTTTTTTGAATCATCAAAGGCCACAAACAATCACTTACCTCTGTAGAGAAAGTGAAAAACAACAAAGATGAAATGGCTAAACAGGCTATGATGTCCCTGAATGTTTAATTGACACTTCCATGGAAACACTAAGGACAGACTGATAATGGATCGAATCACCTTGCTAGAAGATATAATAGAAAATAGCCACATAATTACATAAATATATTCATATTTATCCTTATATGGAATATAGATTTTATGTGAACTTTGCCTCTTCAGGAGTTCATAATGTGAACTCACATCAATGATACTGACAAAATTTTCTTCATTAGTATCAGATATTCAACATACCGAGATTTTTCATTAGGTTCCTTTTCAGGAACAATCACTCCATCAGCTTGCAACTTCCTACTTATTTCTGCAGCCCTAGCTGCGGCTAATTCTGTGGCAGTTTTCATTGTTGCAGCCCGGCTAGCTGCCTGCTGTGCTGTCATTGTTTGCTGCATTAGGAGGGCCTGCTGAAATTGCATCTGCTGCATAGCAACAGCTTGCTGCATGACCATAGGTAATGAAGATGAACCCAATTGAGAATTCAGAACGGGCTTTGGAGGAAGAGTTTTAGCCATTTCAACATTCAGAGGACGGCCCCCAACATCCATATTGTTCAATGCTAAAGCCGAAGTGGCTTCTTCCGGTTTTGAGTATTCAATGAAAGCAAAATGTTTAGAATCGGTAATTGTACAATCAACAACTGTACCACAAAAGCCGAAGAGTTGTTTCAACTGATCCACAGTGAGAAGTGGATTGAGGTTACTAACTTGAACAGTCTTTTTGAGAGAATCAGCTTTCTTCTCATCATCAGCTGAACCTACGAGATGCAGAAAATCAACAATAGTTACATTGTTAACAATACCAGCAATGGGAGTGATCAGATTTATTGGCTCATAAGAGAATTTGGCTTTATTACTGTATGAAAAGAAGGGGACCTAAGACAGAACATAAAAATAAAAAAATAAAAAAAACTGTATTGTTTAATCATAACAATGTCTTAGACAAACTACAAATTACTGATGCAAGCATGCAAACAGCCAATTAAGAATAAAAGCATAGATAAATCTTACTTGAGCCTTTTGTCGATTGAGCTTGAGCTGCAGCATGAGCTTGAAGGGCTTGGGCAGCAACAATTGCCTGAGCAGCAGCCATTGCAGCAGCTGAAGGTGCCATTGGCACTTGACTAAGAGTTCCCATTGTAGTGGTTGCAGCTAAAGCAGTCATCAGCAGATTATGAGGAGGGTGATTAAACTTGCAGATAGTACTTGCACATCGTCCATTAAGGTATTCTCGACATATTTCCCCCAACGATGACCCAATGCCAGGTAAAACAGCTCCACCAGAGGCACCAGAAACAACACCTGGAACCATACCTAGCAGCCCGGGAAAAGCACCAGACACAGAACCAGAATAATTTGGCATGTTGGGCATGGTTTGGTTAACTAGATTAGGATATGATGCTGCAGGAGCCAGACCAAGTAGCCCTCCAGTTGGAGTTCCTAAACAAAAGAAATGCAAGAACCTTTATATTCTCCTTTCTGTAGCAGTGGCAACATGAGGCAAAACAAGAATATATAAACCATTACAAGGAGAGAGCATAAAGCCATAAGATGTCAGCAATATTTAGCATATTATAAGAAGTGTCTTCATTTTGAAAATACAGATGCAAAACACTTCACAGATATTATTATAATTAATACAAGGGACAGAAAATAAGGAAAATATATGGTCCAGTAGTCGAGAGCAATCAATCGTGAATAAACATCTGACTCACAATGTTATAAACAAAGCTCAAAAAATGAACAAAACAAGAAACTAAGTAGGACTCAAAGTTTATAAGCAACCATAAAACTCAATTGAATCCTCTGGCTGCATATATACAAATATAATCTATGGATCTAAATATCACTATTAAAAGTTTCAAACCTTAACCAACATTCGCACTACCATTTATCCACTGCAACCAAGAATTTTACCACTGCCTATCATAAGGGTAAGGCCAGCAGCATTACCACCTGAGTTGCATAAAACCATCATAAGCTGATTCACCCGACACCTGCATACACATTCCTAAGAAGTGTCGGAGCAGTCACCATAATTATGTTAGCAAGAAAACAAAATGCACTAATTATATCAACCTAAGCCGCGTGCATACAATCTTAAGCATTGTATCAGGTCCGGAACCAAAGCCTAACATTGATACGAAGACAACTGAATCCACACCCAGATTCCAATGTGGAAATAACTGTTAAATGCTGTTGATGAACAAGTATGCACTTCTCACTAAATAATAACTCACTGAGGTCATCCAAACTACACATTATCCACCAAGGTAATCTTAGAACGATATTGAGGATCCACTACATGAGATTAACTAGCCATTCATACAAAACAAACAGTAAAAGCTTTATATGCTACACCTTGCATCAATCAGTTGTATAAAGGTTAAGTTTGCCAATCAAGTGAAAAGATTAATGAAGAACAAAACAACCCCATAGTTCTAAACCAGGAAGAAAATTTCACCTGAGCTAAAGAAAACTGGGAACGGACTTCCCATAATTGGCTTCCCATTGCAGTCCACATTCACCATATAATTACCCCTCTTTGGCACCACATAAGTCACGCTATAACTTCCATCCCCCATATCCTTAACTATGCCCTCCAGATCATCCCCCCCAACACCCACCCCTGGCGCCACACGAACCTTAACCTGGGCTCCACCACGAACCACCTTACTCCCTTCGGCATCCTTGGTTACCACCGTGAACGTGGCCCCGACGCACGCTGTCCCGCCTGCAATCCCAGCGCCTTGCGCCGTGCACCTCGACGGGTCCACAGGCCCCACAGAGACGTCTTTATCTGACAATCTCTCGTCATCGTCAGAGTCGGAAGAAGCAGAAGGCGCGACCGAAGGGGATTGTGGCTGTGGGAGCAGAGATTTATTGAAGGTTGCTTCGAATGCGGCTTTGGCAGCGGCGTCCTTCTCGGCATCGCTCTTCAGCTTGGCTTCTTCAGCGTGCTTCACCCATATGGGCTTCGGTGCCGCCGTGACCGTGACCGCCCCCGCCGGATTGTTATTGCTGGCGGTATTATTGTTCCGATCGGCGGCCATGTCGTTGGTAACTTGTTGCGAAACGGCCAAACCCTAATTTTTGTGGATTTAGAGCGAATAAGAGAATGGGATTTCGCATCCGGAGATATGCTGCGATATAAATCGGGTGGGGCACCCGACCCATATATTCGATTTTCACCCTTTGTATCTTTTCTACTCATTAGCCAACTCACTTTCGGTAAAAATTTCAGATGGTGTTCTTTCGGGAATTTTACCGTAGCTTTATAGTATCGAGATTTTTTTTAAAAAAAAATTAAATAATTATATTTTTTATATTATATTGTACCTTTATCTTATATTTAAAATACTCCATTAACGTAAAGTTATATCACGATTAAATAATTATTAAATTTAATTTGAATAATTATAAATTATTTTAATGTAATATTTTTAATATAAAATAAATTTGTAATATAATATAAAAAATAAATAAGTAATTATTTGATTTGAAATTTTTTAAAAAAAATAAAATTTAAACAATAAAAATGTATAATAAAATCCACAAAAAAAAATACAATTTTAGTCACTCATTAGAGGATGTCCAAATATGAGACGAACTGATTCCCAATGTCATCGCCCTTGTAGATTAAGATTAAGCGATGAGACATCCCTCACTCCACTCCAGGGTTGGATCCTGGGTTCGATTCTAGATGGATGCGTACGTGCATGTGATGCTCATGACAATTTACAATCATGATGACATCCGAAACTATGTTTTATGTCAAGCAATCATGATTATATTTGAAATCATCATCTTTCTTATTATCTTGTTGATATAAATCCAATAGGATCATTCTCATCTAAAAGTGAAAAGGTTAATTATGAAAAAGTTACTACTAAAATTCTATAAAAATAAAATACAAAATAATCAAATGATTTATTCAATATAAAACTAACTTCCTTAGCTGGCTTTTTTTTTTTTTTTTTAGCCAATTCATTTTGTATCAAGCGAATTTCATCTAAATAGTCCGAATAATTTGTGCACCTGATTTGTAAAAATAATTGTTTTATTAATAAGTTAAAAAATTATATAATCCATATTAACAACAACCTTTTAGTAGTACTCTCTCCGTTTCACCTTTGGTGTAGATACGAGAATAATCAAATTAATTATAAATTAAGATTAAGATAATTAAATAGAATAATTCAGATTAAAAAATTATAAATTATGAAATTTAAAATGTATAACTATATTTTTTAAAAAAACAAATAAGGTGGGACGGATAGAAATAAAAATAGTGGACGAAAAGATGGGATGGAAAAATACTAAATAATCAATAAATAAATATTATATACTATTGCAATAAATTACATATATATATAATGTGAATAAAATGAAAGTAGCCTCGTGAATGTCAAAAAGAACATAGTAGTTAGTTATTAATATCACAAATTCTAACTATTATAATTGATTTCTCACCTCGAGAACAGAAACTACGAAGCATCACCATAGTCGTCTTTCCACGTGATCTTAACCCTAGCACTAGAATGCATCAACAGATTCTTCGAAAATGCTTGAACAAAGCTATTTTGTATGAAATTAATAAGAGTTTCTTATATGTAAAAGAGAATATTACGAAAAATATATAAATTTTTGCAATGTAATAAAATTACTAAGTGAATAAGTTACCTCAACTTCAGCTGCCGATTTGGATGTACATGTGTCATCTGGCTTTCATCGACATTTTTTGTGCATTTCAAGCTCTGAGGGTATTCGGCCTAAGTCCAATTCTTATTCGCAATTATAATTAGCAAGAATCATACAAATAAATTGTATAGAATCCAATCCTAACAACAATGAGTGATTATATCTTATACAACTTTTGTTAATTCTTTAACTACAAATCTTATACAAATAAAAAGTACAAAAAACAAAAAATAAAAATAAAAATAAAAACAGAATCGTTATATGATGGAAATGTCATGATTTAGAACATCGAGTTGAATTGAAACATTTATCTAAAAATATATATTTATTTTTTTAATAGTGTATTTATGTATAAAAATAACTATATAACATTTAGGATATTAAGGGTGTGTTTCTTTTACCCGATTTTGGAGAAAGTTACCGTGCGAGCACTGTAGGTTTGGGTTTGAGCGCGAATTTTACGTTAGGAGGAACAACTCCTGTGACGGCAGACAGCTCCTCCAAAAGCTGACATTGTGTGGGTATGTTTTTTTAAAAAAAATAAATAAATAAAATATAATTTAATATTTATTATAATTAAATGAAAAATATATATATACAATATTTATGTCATTTTGTAGAGAATAAAATTTTCTATAATACAAATAAATAAAAATTTAAATATGTATATATATGTTGGGTATAATATAAATTCATAATCAAATCATACAATATAAATTTTATCAATTAATTTAATACATATTTATATTATTTTATTCATTATTCATCAAATCAATACATATCAAAACTTCTCAAACTTCAACCAAACTCAAACACAAAAGAAACAACAAAATTTAAACTCATCCCAAAATTCAAATAAAAACCAAATCTAAACCCCAATTTTCCTCAAACTCCCCTAAAGAATCACACCCTAAGATTTCAATAGTCCCACATCATATATATATATATATATATATACAAAATAGGATGCATCACATACATATGCATCATATAACACATATAAATTATGTAGCATTTAAAAACAAAAAAATAAAGAAAGAAAGAGAAGTTTGCACCATATAAAAAAAAATAAAAACCTCCACATGTGTATAAATCCTACAATATATATCATTAATTTATTTTGGCAACCTATATATATATATAAACACTTGCAATTATATCATTCAAGATATAAACACAAATCTAAATATAGCATAAGGTCAAGGAACTGGATGGCTTAGAAAAACTAATACTTCAATGTGTCATATTGAAAGAAGAATAAAATTGATATTAAATTATTATATAAATATAATTAATATTTAAAAAGGAAAATGCATTGATATATAAATTTCAATATCATTTTTTTTTTCCTGACGATACCAGTCAACAAGCATCCACCACGGTATTTATTTAGTCTTGTGTCAAGATTCTTATTACGATTTCATTATATATATATATATTTTTAAATTTGCAATAATTCTCTAATTCTCATTGCTTTATCATGTCACGAAAGTAAATGAGATTCAACAATTGTGGGATTTTCTTCTTTGACCGCGGCGTATTTAAAGCACTTCATAGTATATCTAGACATATTATTGAATAACTTACGAATTGCATGCTCATGAGCAATTTTCCAGCAATATAAAAAAATAATCAATAAACAAAATACAAAAACTTTTGAAATATAATTCAAGCAATCAAAGATATTACCTTAAAAATATGAAATCACTCATCTCTTTTCCAATTTGGGATATCTAAATAAAAGATCCACGAACCATTGTAATTCAATGTGACCGGCCAAACCATGCATAGCACTATTATATTAAAATATATATGTTGTTAGTTTATAAGAAATGATATGACCTATGATTAAATGTATTGGCATGTCAAATATCTATTAGAAAATTTGTAATTACAATATATATATATACAAATAGATGCTCTTACTCAAACACCAATTGACTAACGAGAGTGCGTTCATTATTGAAGTGTGCATCAACTTTATTATCCGGATGAAGATTGTTAGGTGGATCATTTCTATTACTATCATTCGGATCATTACTTGGATTATTATTCGAAAATAATGGTAGTCGGTTATTCATGTCGAGCAAACAACGAAGAGATAAATCACCTAGCTATGTACTAAAGTTTGTTAAAATAACAAATTATATCTTATATAATATGATATTTTATGATTTGAAATAAATTTACTCATTTCGTCCCATAACAAAGTATCAATTTTTTCATTTTAGTCCGTCTCATAACAAAGTATCAATTTCTTTTTTTTAGTAACTGTACTATCTACCTAACATTACAAATACCCTTACAATTTACAATATATTACACAAATGTCATTACTTTTATATCAAACATACTAATAAGGTTATTTTAGTCATTTCTACTTTATTCCTACTATATCCCAATATACTACTAATATTTCTAAAATTACGTGTAAAAAACAAATGAATATCTAATTATGAGACGAAAGAAGTATTATTTATTGAAGCTCAAAATGAGTCTTAATCAAACCAGAAAGCAAAATACATATACTAAAGAGGATTAAAGCAACATGTAGATTAACACTCCTGCTACTGTCCTTTGGAGATCGTCAAATAAAGAAAAAGTTCTATTTGGTTTTGTTTACTAAATTCAGTAGGAAATTGATTTAAAGTTCTATTTAACAGTCTGTTTCTCACTTACTTGATTATCACTGCTTTTCTGCCACCTTGTCCCATCATAAGCCCAGGTCATTTCGTGAGGCGTATGCGGATCCGTTGTGGCGGCAGGCTATGTCTGAGGAGTTGTAGGCTTTGGAGAAAACCCATACTTGGGATATGGTTGATCTTCCCCCTGGCAAGAAACCTATTGGCTGCAAGTGGGTATTCAGAATCAAAACTCACTCTGATGGATCCATCGAGCGCTACAAGGCGCGTTTGGTAGCCAAAGGCTACACCCAGCAGTATGGTATCGACTATGAGGAGACATTTGCCCCGGTTGCTCGTCTCACCTCTGTCCGCTGTCTTATCGCCATCGCTGCCGCTCGTCGGTGGCCCCTGCATCAGCTTGATGTCAAGAATGCGTTCTTGCATGGTGATTTATCCGAGGACATCTACATGTCTCCTCCTCCTGGTTTTTCTACCTCTTCCAAGGTATGCAAACTTCGCCGTGCCCTATATTGTTTGAAACAGGCACCTCGAGCTTGGTTTTCGAAATTTAGCTCTGCTATACTCCAGCTTGGCTTTACTTCTAGCGATCATGATTCGGCTCTCTTCCTTCGACGTGGGTCAGCTGGAATTACTGCTTTATTGCTTTATGTGGATGACATGATCATTACGGGAGATGATGCATCAGGTATCTCCGAGTTGCAGGCTCATCTACACCGCCACTTCGAGATGAAGAGTTTAGGGCCTCTTCGGTACTTCCTAGGACTTGAGATCTCCGACACCTCCGACGTATATTATCTCTCTCAAGCCAAGTATGCCTCCGACCTCCTATCTAGTGCCGGTCTCACTGACTCCAAGACTGCTCCTACACCTCTTGATTCTGACTGTCGTCTTACTCCGATGGACGGCGTTCCCCTTGATGATCCGACTTTGTATCGTCAGCTGGTGGGAAGTCTGATCTACCTGACTGTCACTCGACCGGATATTGCTTATGCCGTCCATATCGTCAGTCAGTTTATGTCTGCTCCTCGGACGACTCATCATTCTGCTGTCCTACGGATTCTCCGGTACGTCAAAGGTACCCTTCTTCATGGGCTTCATTATTCCGCTCGTTCTTCCTTAGTTTTGACTGGGTATTCTGACGCTGATTGGGCGGGAGATCCTTTTGATCGCCGCTCGACCACCGGGTTTTGCTTCTTCCTTGGCGACTCGCTTATTTCATGGCGCAGCAAGAAACAGACTGTTGTCTCCCGGTCCAATGCAGAGTCCGAATATAGAGCCCTTGCCGATACCGCTGCCGAGCTTCTATGGCTTCGCTGGCTGCTGGCTGATCTCGGAGTGCCTCAGCCCTCTGCCACTATTATCCATTGCGATAGTCAGAAAGCCATGAAGATTTCGACGAATGATGTCTTCCACGAGCGTACGAAGCACATTGAGATCGACTGTCACCTTGTACGTCATCACGTTACTCATGGAAACATCTCATTGTCTCCTATTTCCTCTGCTGATCAGACGGCCGACGGATTCACCAAACCTCACCTTCCCGGCCGTTTTCAGTCATTTTTGAGCAAACTCAAGTTGGGTTCCACCGTTCCACCTTGAGTTTGAAGGGGGATGTTGATATATATATTGTATATATATTTTATATATTTATATATATATCCTACCTAATATATCTCTTGTATAAATATAATATTGTACCCTAATTGCGATTTAACGAAAATAGAGTTTATTCCATAAATCGTAACAGCAAATAACTCGGCGCAATTATACTAGTGCTTGCAACTTGACCACAAAATCAACCAAGATCATTGTAACTTCAGACACTTTCTGGACATAACTCTATACCAGTAGGTTGTTGCTCATTTGGAATATTTTCTTCATATTTATTCTCATAAATAGAAATTATAGATAAATATACATTACACACAAAAAAATCGGCTTATGACCTCGGCTAAGCTTGGCTTATGATTTCGGCCAAAGGCCACCGAATTATTGATTTCAACAAATGTGACAAAGATAGTGTTCACTAGATTTTTGGTTAACCGAACAACGTCGTGAAATCAGTCCTTGATGGCCGATTCTGGGCATATGATTTTTAGATAATTTTCATATGAATAAAACTGTCACATAACCAACCCCACGACCTTATGATTGACAATAACCGATTCTTAACCGCGATTGGTGATCACAACAATTTTGACATCTTCAATCACATAAAAAAAATTAAAAAATTTATCGGGGATAATCACTTTAGTTTTTCGTACAATTTAATTTTTTTGTATCATTGTAATAAATTATAGATTTCTTTCTTATTGTATAAAAATCAAATTCAAGCTTATGCCTGAATTTTTACTATTTGTTGTTAAATTTTCAGGTTTAACAACATATATATCAAATGTTTATTTTCTTTTGCAAAATATTATATCAAATACTCAATTTTTTATTATTTTTAAAAAATTTCAAAATTTCAAAAATCTTTATCTAAATAGGGAAATCTTGATTCTTCCTTAATTTGATGTCAAAGTTGATTTCGATTCTTTTTCTTCCTTGATGATTCAATTACAATATCTTGAAATATCCTATACTAGGATAGACAAATAAGAGGTGACAAATAATACAAAATCCACACACCCATATATATTTCCCAATACTTAGGATGAACAATAGTGCATACTCATCCACACAAATAATTTCAAGAAAAGTAGACAAGATTCAAAACTATTAATCTTGCCTTTATTACAAACATTCAAATATAGTCTTCAAGTATAAGAAGGCAAAGGACAACCCTAATTAAATGGTCGAAACCAAGTGCACATACTTACACACATATTGTATTGTCTCATGCAATAAGCCCCTCCCTTTCGAGCTCGGATTTAAGCTCGGTGACCTCATTTTCGGGCAATATTACCATAATATTCCTCCTTTCATCTTTAGGCGCCGGATGCACTAAGATTACGCCTTGATCGCCAACTCCCTCGATCCTATAGCTCACATTTTCAGGCTTTTGTCCCCTAAATTCGACTTCATAGAAAGGGGAACCTTCGAGGTCCACAAAAGTTAAATTTGCGCCGTAGAGGATGAAGTCCGCTAATGCTTCCTCCCTTTCTATTGCCTCATCAATCTTTTTGTTTTCTTCTAAGGCATTGTTTTGCATCATTGATGCTAGCTCGCCAAGATTGGCACTCGCCACGCTGATATCTGCTTTGACTACGCTCACAAGTTGCTTATTGCCCAATGCACCACTTGCCTTATTACCTTCACTTTTCTTGCAAATAGTCACAATATTTGGTTGGCCTTCTTCGCCTCGAATTCTTGCAATGCATTGCCAAATTACGGCTGAAATTAACTCGAATGGACTGAATTGGGGCCCGCTCGGATTGAATTTAGAATTTAGATGCTTCAATAATGTGGGGGTGATGTTGAAAGAGAATTCCTCCATTTGGACTTTCGCGGTATTGACCCAATTGTCTCCAACTGGGCTAACCCGTTTGACGGAAAGTGGGTCATCTCCAAAGTTCGTCGAACTATTAGTTCCGATGGACTTTGTTAGGGTTTTGGATAGGTCCACGGGCTCTCCTAGTTCATGTCCGGCCACAGCATGGCCCAATGAGTTCATGAATTTCGCGACCGAAAATGCATCTCCAAGAACATGGGCCCAACTTAGGCTCAATGCTGTTCCACCGCACTTAAATTTTGTTAGCTGCATTAAAATTCATAACATATCTTATGTAAGAAAAATCTTGTTAATTTATTTTCGAGTTCATACAATGCTACAACAAATAAGATAAATAATCTATGTTATAAATTACAATGAAAGTAAAGCTGCTGAAAAACCAAGTCAATAAAGAAAATCCACAACTTTAAGGTATGTTTTCTCTGCATTTTTTTTATTAGGCATTTTTTATTATTTTTTTAATATCACATCAAATATCAACTTTTTTAAATAAAACATCGGATCTAACAACTATATGACCTAAAAATATTTAAATCCAACACATAAACACAAAAAAACAAAAAGAAGAAACACCAAGAATAACAAAGGCATATAAAAGAAGTGTAAGGAGACAAAGGATTTTTTCTTTTTACCAAGTCTTTTATTATTACTTTTTTTTTTTTTATCGAACAATCTCTCAATTTTCATATAAAACATCACATCTAACACTAATATCAACACAAAAAATTACCTCCCACCACTCTTTTACCTAAAAAATAAACCCAAAAACAGCAAACTCAAAGCGCATATATATATATATATGTATAGTATGAATTTCAATTATAGAAAATAATTTATGATAGTAATATTGTGAAATAATTGTTATCCAACAACTGGGGTGGACATGGTTCGGATATTTGCAAATATGCAGGTATTTGGTATTCGAAATGAACCGAACAAATACCCGAAACCGCGAACCGTATCCGAACCGAAAATTTGGGTTAACCGAAAATATTTGCAATATTTGCAAATAATTCGAACCGAACCGAAATTAAAAAATAATTAAAATTCTAATTAAATCAAAATATTTGCAAATATTTCAAATATCCGAATCGAAACCGAACCGTAATCTAACCACAACTGAAGCGAATAAAATTATTAATATAAATTTTAACATATAATAACATAAATATATAAATATATTGGGTTCGGTTAACCGAACCGAAAAAAATATCAAAAAGCGAACCAAACTGAGCAAATATTAAATATACAGTATTTGTATTCGAACCGAATTTGTTCGGTTAACCGAAAATTCGGTTCAGTTCAATTTAATTCGATTCAACGGTTCGGCAGTTCGGTTCAATTTTTTTGTCCACCCCTGCCAACAACTATAGTAATGGAAATGCATATAATTTATAAGCACCGATTCATCATAAATGTGTTGGTTGTGCATATTGTAGCAGTAGATGAGTTTTAGTGCCATTAAAGGTCCATACAAAGAAGAATGGTTTGAAATAAATGATGAACATTGCTATTTTGGTGCTTTCTGTTTATATATTTTGGACCACTGGGCATCATCCCAATACTTAAATTTATTAAATAGCTACCTTCTGGAGATTTCTTGTATTAAATTTTTTATTTTTATATTTATAAAAAAAAAAAAAAAAAAAAAAAAAAAAAAAGGATAAACACCCCTTATTCAAAAACCCTAAACTTTACCTCTATGTATGTGGTTAGGGCTTGAGGCAGTGATTAGTGAATGACGTCGGAACTATAATAAAACTAAAAATATATTAAAATAATAATAATAATAATATTGATAAAAATAATTTATTATTGTATATTTATATCATCCAAATATAAATTAATTATTTTCATTGGATTAGATTTTAAGTATTTGGATACTGATAACATTTTAAATTTCGGAAACTTTTTTAGATAATCTTAACCTTTCAAATTTTAAATGGGATACTGAAATTTTAGCACAATTATTAAATTATAAAAATATTATTTTTACAGAATAAAATTATGGGTAAACTATTTTTTTAGTCCCGTAACTCGATCCTCTTATCATTTTAGTCCCGTAAGTGGAGTCTGTCGCAAATTAGTCCCATAAGTGAAAAAATTTCGCTGTTTTAGTCCTCCGGTGCCGGAGACGCCCGCGTGGCTCGCCGGAGGTGACGTGTCCGCCAGGTGTCGCTGACCTGACGAACACGTGGATTTTTTTTAAAATTTTTTTTTTCATTTTTTTTAAAACTTTTTTTAATTTTATTTGTATTTTTTTATTTTTTTATTTGGTCCAATTAAAAAATAAATTAAAAAAATTAAAAAAAATGAAAAAAATAAATAAATCCACCTATCCGCCAGGTGTCGTTGATCTGGCGGGACACCTGGCGGACACGTCATCTCCGGCGAGCCACGTGGGCGTCTCCGGCGCCGGAGGACTAAAACAACTAAATTTTTTTCACTTATAGAACTAGTTTGCGACAGGCTCCACTTACGGGACTAAAATGATAAAGAGTTCAATTACGAGATTAAAAAAACAATTTACCCTAAAATTATTTATGTCACGTGTCACCGCTACCTTACACGTACGTCCGTCGTCGACCCCAGTAAGTATATATATATATATATATATATATATTTAAGTATGTGGTTATGCTACTTGTGTGCATAGCCACAGATTATGATATGAATATGTATCATAATGATATTAAATATGGCAGGTGGTGTTAGGTGCACTATTTAATTTTCCCTACTTAATTGCTACCAAATAATTTTACAAAATTTATAAACGTTTACAACTGGCAATATGTGTTCTTGATTGGTATCCAAATTAGGCTGCAATTAACAAGTTATGAGCTCGTAATACGTGTACCAGTGTTTAATTGCATCAATTAATTAAAAGAAATAATTAATAATAATAATAATAATAATAATAATAATAATAATAATAATAATAGGGGCGCTAGATAACTCTCTCTAAATAATTCGGCAAAATAGAATAGTTTCAATATAATATCATCAAATTACTATTCAAAATAAATTTATGTAACTTTGGTTAGATATGAAAATTAAAAATTATAGTATTATTATTTTAAAATGAAATAAGTAACAAAATTGTTAGTACTTGTTAAAATAATAGTAATAAAATTATAAGTGTATGAAATAATGGATAAAATTATTATTATTTTAGGAGGCCAATGAAGTATATATACTTTACTTATTTTCATAAATCTTTTAGGATTATTAATGAAGTAATTAATCAATCCTATTATGTACTAAGGTTCTTTTATTGTTAGAGTTTGATTGAGGGTTTTTATTTTTTTATTTTTATATATATATATAAATATATTATTTTCTCTTATAAAATATTAAATTTAAATTATTTTTAAAATTATTATTTTATAAAAAAAATAAACTAAAAGAGAACACGACCTATGACCTTAATTATATGCTTATTTTGTAAGAGAGGATTATAATATATTGTATGATTTTAATAGATCATATAATAGCATACTAGATTAATTTAATGTTTCTTTTAATAAATTTTTAAATAAAATTATTATTTTGTCTAAATTACCTTCAATTTATTTGACATAATTATTTCTAGATAAATTATTGATTAATAAATGACTACCTAGACTTTTTAACCTAAACAAAAACTTAAAGATTATATAGCACCGACTACTTAGCCAGCCTTAAATAATCCTTAATTTCACTCTTATAAGAACAGACTTGAAATAATTCCAAGTAAAATTTACAGATTTCATATGTCCCGGACCGAATTCGTGAACCATAACAAAATTCGATCTACACTTAAAATCTCCTAAATTAATTAAAAAAGAAAGAATGAAAAAGACTGTATTTTCTTTATTTTTTTGAATTTTTCACAAGATTTTTACTATTTACTTTATTTTGTCTATAATTTCTATTTCATATTATACCACTAAAAATAAATTTTAAATTCAAAATAAAACACCAATATCTATTTAAATCAATCAAACAATCATTCGAATATAAAACTATTCAAAAATCGAAAACCAAAAAATCGAATTCACAAGCACCATTTTACCTGTACAAAAACAAGCGGAGAAAACCCGAGCTCCGGCCCGATATATTGATTCGGCACGAGAACCTTCTCGAGGGAGACATCCTTGTCCTTGATCTGGAACCAGTCATCTAGGGTTTTATCAGACTTGGCCTCGATGAACCTGACGCCGCAGTCGTTGCACTTGATGTAAGGCCGGCCGGAGTGATCGTCAGATCTCCGGAAGCGGCCGCAAGTCATTGGATACTTGTTAAGCCACAAGAACATGGGCTCTTTGATGACAAGAGTGGAAAGACCATCAAATGCTTGGCTTCTGAAGTAGTACACTCCTCTGAGGTAGTGAAGCTTCATGGCCAAGTCGAGGTTGTCGGGCTCGTAGATGAGGTCCGATCCAGTGACATCGGCCGGCCCGATCGACGACACTTTTACGTCGTAGATTAGGGTTTTGCTGTCCATTGGAGGTGAAACCATGGTAGAATAGAATGGAGAGGATGATGAATTGAGGGTTTTTTATTTTTTTTTTAAGGCGTGTTGGGGGAGAGTGGTTAAGGGTTTGAAGGAAATTAGATAGGGGAGGGAGTTTGGTTGCTCACATATGGCTCTCTCCATTAAATAGTACTCCCCGGTCGCACAGTTGATGTCTAAGTTATTGTAAATACGGGATTTTAAAAAATTCATAATTAGTAGATAATTAAAAATATATTGATAAATTATTATAAATTAATATTAAGATAACTAATTAATTTAATTAAAAAAAATTTGAAATGAGATTAAAGTGTGTAATTATTTTCCAAAAAAAAGTGATATAAGATATGAGACGGATAAAAACAGCAAGCTGAACATAGTAGGTAGTACCGAGGGAGTATTTGTTTGTTTATATGTATGAATTTGTATATGCATCTAAGAGCATATATAGTTGAGAAATTATTAATGATTCATGAATGCAATACACTATTTAGATCTACATCTACATCTATCTATCAATTTTAAATCTAAAATTGACTATATTATAAATTAAATATTATATATATAAAAACATAGAGTTTGGTCTAATATTTTTTGGGGATTTTAAATCCACGACAATTTAAAGTTAGGTATATCAATTTAGTTAATATATGTATATATATATATTTTCTTATGACTGTTTGACGTGTAATACTTTTATAAAAAATTATAAATAGTTTTAAAAATTAATTTTACATTCAAAATTTTACATCAATACCTATATCATAAAATTATTCAAATTTAAATTTTGTTACTATTCAAAATTCAAACCTCCAACGAAATACACTTGCAAATATATTGTCACAAATTTTTTTTTTTGTGGATAATTTAAGTTGCAACATAAATAACAAAAATATTCGCAATTGTTGATGCCGATTTTCAACAATAAAAAGTAAAACCCGAAAATAGAGATTATCTTCGAATTTGATAAAATAAAATGCTTGAGATTTAAGAATCCCTTGACACCGTACGATACATAAATAAAATAGGAAAAACAAATACTACAGACTGTAAAAGTAAAATGGTGATCCCCAAAAGAAATTTCACTAAATTTGATGTCGATTGAAGATGCAATTTCAGAACAGACCCAAATCTTTAAATATTCCTTAAAGAAACGTTTTGGAACCGTCGTCTGTTCGGTTACAACAACCACCGTCAACTGCCCACTAATTCCTCTTCCATTGACACGTGTTTTAACTGTCTCGCCAGCTGCTCCTGCTAATTACAGGACTTAACTGGCTCGACCGAGCGCCTCTGAACACCTTACCTCCTTAAATAGACGGCTGGTCCTGAATAACTACTCAACCGCCCAGCATACTTTAGACAGACTCCAGGCCAACCAACTGCCTCGAAAAACCCCTTAGCCACCTGATGGGCCTAGAGACGGGCCCACAGCTCCTCATATTTTGGACCATTTACCCTAATTATAAATTCGTACGTAACAGTCGCATTTATATTTAGCAACCATTTGCTCAATCCTATAACTTTGAAAACGACCTTCGCCTTTTCAGACGGATTATAAATCACCATCCGACTGAGAAATCGTCTGGACCATCCACCGACTGAACCTACCGAATAAACCAACAATTGACCAACTGACCAATCCAGATACTAACTGGTCGCTAGGCCAAACGACTAATCAATTGCCCACTCGAGTGACCACCATTCAGTCCATTCAAACAGCTGAACAACCATTCGTCCAGACGACTCATCGATCGCCCAATCAAGCGACCACCATCTAGTCCCTTCAATCGGATGAACAACTATTCGTCCAGACGATTCATCAATCGTCTAATCAAGCGACCAACTGACTGCCCTTTCAAGCGACTGAACTATTGTTTGACCAAATGACTGGTCAATCGATCAGACGATTAACAGGTCGCTTAATTAAGCGACCAATTAACAGACATTTCTTTCAAATGGCCCCTAGAAGCCCACTCTCCTCTTGTTTGACCCCCGTATCTACCGTCTCATCTCTCTTCGCCCGACCTTATTTTGTCCGATCTCCGTATTGGCCGTCTCATCCTCCTTTGCCCGACTTCATCTTGTCCGACCTCTTTATCGGCCGTCTCATGCTTCTTCGCCCAACTTTATTTAAGACCCTACTACCATTATCAGGCCCATTGGACTATATATTAATCCAATTTATAAGCTCATTCTCAAGAAACTCTATACATTGGTTTTTTCTTACTCAACAACTTGCCTCCTCCCGCCCGACTCCTAAGCGTCACTTCTCGTGACGTTTAGGAGTTTGCAGTACACAGTGCTATCATTACACTGTTTCATGTCACATCGTGTGGTTTATGTAAAACCCTTCTCTCACCCTTCCATATTTACGCACTCAAAATCTTGAAATTCTCCTTTTTATAGGACAACCCCGGGTCTCCATCGGCTGTCCCTCAACCGACCTCCATCATCTGAGGCCACGTCAGCCTCAGATCCGACCTCCATCATCCGAGGCTACGTCAGCCTCAGATCCGACCTCTATTTATCGCGGACTGGTGGTGGCCTGCGCGTTGGTCAATCTTGCACTACCATTTTGTCCTTTAACTCTACTTCGAAGGATCCATCTTTTTTGTCTCACTTCTCAGCCACCCTGTTTTCGCAAGTCTTAAACACGTCCTCCTGATCGAGCTCTCTTTCTTTTGGCTTACGCTCCCTCCGTTTGGTATCTCTCTCTTTTTCATCGTCTCCTTATGTGCTTTGTGAAGAACGCACAGAGATTACAACAGTAGTCACTTTTGGGAAAGGTTGCTGCTCTACTACCATCATGACATATTTGAATCTTCCTGCTTTGATAGCCTTCTGTATTTCCTTTTGCAAGTGCGTACACTGGTTAGTGTAATGCGTAAAAGAATTATGCCACTTACAGTATGGCCTTTCCTTTATTTCCTCCTTTGTTGCTAATCGTTGTCCTTTAGGGATGCGAATTTGCCCATCCGCTAGCAAAATATCAAAGATTTCATCTACTTTGGATACATCAAACGTCGGTTGTTCCCGCTCTTCTGCCCCTGGAAGGGGCTTCAATTTGGAACATACATAGGGCTTGTTTACAATTTCAGCCACCATTTCTTCAGCACCCTCCCCTTGTTCGTCGTCTGGTGCATAAATCTATTCATCGACACTGGCCATTTGACGGAAGTTGTGATCCTTTTCTCTAAAAAGGGATTCTAACCTCCCCGCCTTGGATGCTAAACTGGCCAGATCTTGAACATCGTGGGCCGTTAAAGCCTCCCGCAGTCGTGTATGCATATTCTTGACCACTAAATTGGTCATCTCGCTCTCCTCAATGATTGTCGGGCAACGTCCCTTCATTAGTCGTATCCGCTCTATAAATTGGTAGACGGTCTCCTCCGGCATTTGCCTGATTTCCAGGAGGTCTGTGAGTGAGATTGTCGGAAGAGGATTAAAGAACCTTGCATTAAAAGCCGCTTCCAAACCTTCCCAAGTTTGCAACTATCCTGGCGGAAGACTGGCAAACCAAGAAAAAGCTGTTCTTGTGAGAGATAATCCAAACAACTGTAATTTGTGAAACGGATTATTGCCCACTTCCCTCAATTGAGCCGTGAAACGTCCCACGTGCTCGATAGTCGAAGCTCCATCTTCTCCCGAGAAAAAGTGGAAATCAGGTGGCCTATAATTCCTCGGGAGAGGATGCTCATTGATGATTCTCTCTGGAAATGGTCTTTGATATGCCGGCCTGTTTATCGTTTGAGGATTCATTCCGAAATGCACACGCAAGACTTGAGCAATGTCTTCCGGATCCAATCTGGGTGCAATAGGGTCGAACACAGGAATGGGATTATGAGTCTGACCTCCCAATCTTTCTTCTCTGGGGACGGTTGGCTCAGCTCTGACATCCAGTGGAACATTATTTGGGTATGTTAGATGAGTCTTTCCCCTGTCAACTCTAGTAGTGGCACTTGGAAGAGTGCAATCTACATATGAAGGCCCCGCAAAATTTGCTTGTAATATGGATGGTGACATCCCTGGTGGTGACTGAGTAGGTTGAAGAGTAACCCTTGATAAAGCTTGATCTAACATATTTTGCATGAGGTTTTGTTGCTCACGCAACATGTTTTGAATAGTGTTGAACATATGACACCCAATCGGCGGGTGCTTAGGGCACTTCCCCTGCATTTGGTATGACAGGTGATGAAATGGTTTCTCCCGCCGGTGTTGAAGATACTTAGGGTTGTGAACCCGCCATATGGATCTTTCCGATGATTCGGCCGGATCTTAATCATATGAAATTCTTTCTTGATGTAGGATCAGCAATCTTGCCTTTCTCCCACTGTGGTCGCCAAATTGTTGATGCCGATTTTCAACAATAAAAAGTAAAATCCGAAAATAGAGATTATCTTCGAATTTGATAAAATAAAATGCCTGAGATTTAAGAATCCCTAGACACCGTACGATACATAAATAAATAGGAAAAATAAATACTACAGACTGTAAAAGTAAAATGGTGATCCCCAAAAGAAATTTCACCGAATTTGATGTCGATTGAAGATGCAATTTCAGAACAGACCAAAATCTTTAAATATTCCTTAAAGAAACGTTTTGGAACTGTTGTCTGTTTGGTTACAGCAACTGCCGTCAACCGCCCACTAATTCCTCCTCCATTGATACGTATTTTAACTGTCTCGCCAACCGCTCCTGCCAATTACAGGACTTAACTGGCTCGACCGACCACCTCTGAACACCTTACCTCCTTAAATGGATGGCTGGTCCCGAATAACTACTCAACCGCCCAGCATACTTTAGACAGACTGCAGGTCGACCGACTGCCTCGAAAAACCCCTTAGCCACCTGATGGGCCCAGAGACAGGCCCACATCTCCTCCTATTTTGGGCCATTTACCTTAATTATAAATTCGTACGTAACAGTCGCATTTATATTTAGCAACTGTTTGCTCGATCCTATAACTTTGAAAACAACCTTTGCCTTTTCAGTCGGATCATAAATCACCATCCGACTAAGAAATCGTCTGAACCATCCACCGACTGAACCTACCGAATAACCCAACGATTGACCAACCGAAAAATCCAGATACTAACTAGTCGCTAGACCAAACGACTAATCAGTT